AGTAGAAGGAGAAGACATCTACATGATGAAAACAATCCAATTAGATGCTCAGGAAACACATTATGGAGACAGGCAACACAAGCTAGAGCCACATACAATATACGGTGGAATGAAGAAGAACTCAAACAAACCACAACCCTATACAGACCAGGACAACAGTTCTACTGTATGGCAGAACAATCACAAACAACATTCTCATGAGATATGGGAATAACAACCAGATTTCTATCAGCATTTTTCGCACCATGGATAGAACAACAAAGAGAAGACACAACACAAGATTATGAATATGAATATGAAGAAGAACAAGAAGACCAAGAAGAAGAAGGAGAGGAAGAAGACGAAGACAATAAAGAAGAAAAAGAACAAACACCTACCACCACACCACAACTTATAAAAACATGTTTTGGGAAAGGACAAATGCAACTGAACTCCACAGAATGTAGACCACATGTAATTCCATTGATAAATTTTACATCATTACCTTCATTGACACCGCCATATGGAAATATATGTCCAAAGAGCATCTTAGACAGATATCCAAATGATACAGTATTATGTGCAGCAGGATTTCCAAATCTACCATACAATAAATTTGAAATATTGAATATAACAGGGCAATACATAAACTTCAGCTTACCATCATTACCACAAATGATAACCATCTTAGGATTAGGAATAGAACACTATAGACCACCTATTGTATTGACAGAACTAATAACACAGCCACTACCACAATTTACAACACCTAGAAAAGCACAACATAAATGTATTAATAGATGCCTTTATCAAACAATGATATGTAATATAGTAAACTTATTCCAAAATGTTGTTAATGATACCGAGAATATAACTCACATAAAACATACAAATCAAATAGGAGTTATATGTTATGAATCACTAAAAATCAATCCAGCATCACCAACAGAGCTTAAAAACATAAAAGAGATCAATTCAACAATATCAGAAATCAACTTACAAAGACATCCCAAGATTACATATATAAATGTCCCAATGGTATTTGAGATACCACGAAGGCAAACATCACAAAAATTTCATACAACAACATATTTATCAACAGTAATTTCCAATAACACAGAGGAAGGATTCTCAATGAAATCATGGGACAGTGTAACTATTAGGGTACCAGTTTATATAACAAACATAAGTACACTCAATGAAACATTATTTAAAAATAACACATACTTAGAGACACAATTCACAGATACAAGAGGGCAACAACCATTCAACATCACCATAAATGACAAACAGATACCACAGCGCTTAGTTTGCTTTAATCGCACATATGAAGGAACACCAAAAAGAAGCTTCTCAATAACATCTTGGCGGTTTAACATAACCAACCAAAATCCATTATTTAATATGTCATGGAATATGAGATATGGACACAATTTCCAAGTATGCAATTTGACACCATGGACTTACAATGATACAATTAATTTCCCAATACCATTAGACATAAATACAAAATTGCATAATATAACATTTACTAATACTCAAACCAACATAACTTCATGGTATGAAGAATGGACAAACAATTACACATTCCCACAAATTGCTTTAAATAACATACACACACCAGGACTTATTAGCAGATCAGATGTTGAAAACTTTACTATACCACAATACTCATTAGATGAATGGTCCCACAAGAATTTACACTGGTGGAGAATATGGGATATGGAAGCTAAGGGTTTAAATGACATCAACCACAACAGCCTACCATATATATTCTCCATGATATTACCACATCCAATAACAAAGAAATGGTCAAGAGGAGACTTCATAGCACACAGACCACTACTAAATGCATCAATAACGACAATGCTAGATCAAGAGAATTGGGATAACATATACCACTTTCCAATAAATAGGAAAAGATGTGGTGACAACCAACACTCCAATGAACCATGCATGATGAATAGAGGAGATCTAGAAAATGGAAGAAGAGTTCTCACAGCACATTATAGAACAGGATACGTACTACCCCCAACAAATATAACACCTGTGGTTAAAGATGCACCATGGTCAGTTCCAGACCTGACTACCCCAGCTCGTCTCATATTATCACCACAAATTCAACTTTTGGAAATACATCTAAACTTACAGGACATAATTACCAAACAATGTGAAAATGATTTCACACACCCACTGTACACATATACTACTGGACAACAAAACTGAAGAAGAAAACCATTGCAAATTGCAGCAGGACTATCGTTTGTAGCAGGAGCAGCAATAGGTGCACTTATTGCATCAGCCGCAGTAAGAGAACAAGCTACAAAAATTGAACAACTACAACACTTAACCCAAGACCAAGCACAAGCAATACACGCCATATCTGAAAACTTAGGAGTATTGCAAACAGTAACACAACACACAACAGAAGAACAAGGATTGATAACAGAACAACTTAAAAATCAACATACTGAAACAATCACTCTAAGGAATACCCTAATATCATCAACAGAATCAATATATGAAACTTTAAAATGCAACAAACACACAAGACTATTGGATCTAATTTATAGGGATTTGGACATTTTATTCACAACAGGACAAGGAACAGAAACTTCATTTTATAAAACAATACTAGACCCAAACAGAGATTCAATATGTACATCAGGAATTTGCACCATAAATGTTATTCAAATAAGCCTCCTGAATGCAATGGAAGCATACAATGCTATCAACATACCTAAAAGATATAATGATGAATGGGTAACCCCCATAGAACAACATATATGGGCATCAATTAATGGAACATATATAACAATACCAGTATCCCAAACATTCAGATTTGGAAACACATATGTATACCCACACAACAAGGTATATGAACCAATAGAATCAGATGTAGCACTCACAAAGGTATTCCACAAACTACAGGACCTAGGTAACTACCAACATTTGGTATGTACTCCAACAATGGCTAATCTCACCATCAATAATTACAACACAACAAGCCAAAACGGTGCTATATTTAATTATAGTCTATATCCAGGATGTTTCATTGTACACAATGCATCAATCATAACCCTGACAACTTGCAACCCAAGAAATTTATCTCATATATTAAAAATGGAATCATCAACAACAATATGGATACAACAAAAATATCCAGGCATGGATGCATTTTCATTCTCATGGGACACTGAACTACAAAACATCCAAAACATAATCAATAAAGCCAAACAGCTGATGGAAATATCAGACTTCAACTCCAAACAGTTAGTCTACATGAACAAACAATCAAAGAATACTTCAAAAGAAATCCGTAAGAAAGTCCAACAAGTAGTAGCGTTGATAGATAAAGATTTAACTCTCCCAAAAGGCACACTGACCAACTCAGGACCCAGTACAATATGGAGTATGATCTCTAGGATACTCACATTTAATTCAATATGTTATTCAAATTGGGACCAATTTTATTGGATTAAGCATATCTTTAAAATCATGTTAGCAATTATATTTGCTGTTACAATGATAAAATTTTTAATAATTATCTATAAGTTTTGTTTCAAGAAATCTTTTTCAGAAAACTACAAAGATGTCCTCGGACAACAACTCCAGTACCCTCGTGAGACGGGACGCCTACTGGAGCAGACGGAGATGTAACAAGAAACCTAAAAAAGAAGAACCATGGTTCATCAGACCAATATCATATGAATCAGAAAGAAGATTTTGTGCAGAAAAACATACGGAACATTTTGTGAGAATGACATTTATTGAAACCCACACACCAATAGATCTGTTATTCAGATACTTTGGATTTGAATATTTAAGGGCACATCATTGTAAATTCTGTACAACACCCTCATTATTATTCACAGGTACTGATGATAACTCACAGGATTTTATATACTTCCTATTCCACGCCATATACCATCCATTGGTATGCCACAAACTACACCAATATGACACTGAGATAACACAGAGAACAATCAGTCTATTAATAACACAATATATGTCACTATATCATAACTATTCACCAACATGGATACATGCTACCCTAATAAATACACCATGGATCATGCATGCACTAGTACGCATGCAATGTAGCCAAACACAATTAAAACCAGTATCACTACAAGATATATGTGTGACAATTATTACTAAAGATGCAATGCTGGAAATGATATACCAATATTCGGCATGGCATAATTGGAAATGGATAATGAAAACCAAGCGAAACCAGGCATTAACCAGATTTTTCTCTGAATCTTGTAACCGCCTCTGATTGAGACGCTTACAGATTCTGGGGATGGAATGTGGAGAACACCTTGAATTAAGATGGAATTGTATAACCCTAAAGTGTGCTGCAACCCTAAAAGTGTGCTGTGACTTTAAGTGTGCTGTAACCCTAAAGTGTACTGTGACCTTAAGAGTGCTGTAACCATAAGATATAAAAGTAGAATCTTAAGCGGTATGGAACTGATAAGGGTGTAGCCCAAACTGGACGGGGCGTACCCTGAATTGGACACAGGGCGTACCCTGAATTGGGCAGAGTATGCCCCAAACTGGACAGTGTGATAAGTCTGAACCAAAACCACAAATGCCCAGTTAGAATAGTATAAAAGGAGCTGAAGACTCCAAGCAAGTCGTCGATCCATCCACCAACCAGTCGACCAGTCGATCTGCTGATCTGACTACCCACCGAGACATCTGCACACCTGATCCCGCTGGAAGGAGCAGCGCCGCCGACCAGACGAGACCAGAGAACGAGGCAAGCGGAGAGACCGACAGCCTAGCGCCGACTCGACGCCCTTCGTCTACGGATCGGACCCTCTGACCCCACGGGAGGAAACGTCGCGCTCCCACAAGGACTTGCGCAGTACAGGTACAGGGACGTGGTAATTGGCAGACTTAATATTGTGTGATAATTGTATTGAAGTGAAGTGTATTGAAGTGAAACCATAACAATATAGAATAAGTGTGTGAACTGCCACCCGAGTCTGAGTCCTCTTTACCCATCGTACCTGCTCGCGACACTCCTCAAGGAAGACACTGGGCACCTCCTACCTCATCCACCTCCCGTCGGTCTCGCCCACTAAGCCGTAGAGTCACAGCACAGGTCGGGCGCTCTTCATTCCCGTGTGCTGCGCGCCGAAGGCAGCGCCTACCAAACACTGTGGGACCTGGAAACTTTCTCGCAGCCGACAGCACACGCCTAAGAGCAGAAACTTAAACCAGTCCAAGGCGCAGCGCCGCGCCATCGCTACTTCCGACGGAAGTGACGCTATTCGGGGAGGCGGGGCTTCCGGTCTCCCGGCTGGTTTCCTCTGCCCGGCCGCCTCGGCTGCTCTGGAGGATCGCGGTTGGTAAGAAACATTTCTGCGCGGTGTTGTGGGGTCCTCGGGCCCCTTGGGGGGTCCTCGGCCCTGGATGGACTAACGTGGGGCGGGCTGTGGGTCCTCTATTGTCCTCAGCGCGCCAGAGCCCTCTCCTTCCGTGGGCCCGGAAAGGACTCCCGCCCACCCCGGCCCTCGCGGGGTCAGCGCTGTCCCGGAGCGGCGCGGCTGTTTACTCTGGTAGTTTACACGTCGTTCAGGTGGAGGAAAAAGAAGTCCCCAGATGCTGGGTGGCACCGTATGTAAAGTAACCAAAACTGTTCAGTTGATGTGGGAATCAGGTGATTTTTACAACTTCTGTCGGCACGTGTTTGCAGTGCGTAACGATGACGTGCATGCTGGGGGTTGGTGCTTGAACACAGCACATCTTGATTCTTTTTTTCCCATCCCTTTACCCCTTCTTCATCTCTTGGTTCCCTTCCGTTTTGCAAAAGATCTATCAATTAATTTGTCTTGGAGTAAATTACTCCTTTAAAATGTTTCCATAAGGGATGATCGGAAGCTAGGGTCAGTGTTTGCATTTGAAAAATCTCATTACAGTAAAAGGCACATTGCCAAGAACGATGGGATGAATGTCTTCCGAGCCAGGGGGAGCATTTCGAGGGAATTCATGGCCGTGTGTCTTTTACTATAACTAACCTCTAGAATGTTGTTGATCACCCCAGTGTACGTGCCTTTTCCCCCCACCGGGGGTGGAGGGTCTCTGTAAGCACTTGGTTTAAGTTAGAGGCGTAGCTGTACAGCACATCATAGAATTAATACGTCTGTAGATATCTAAATGAAGTAAAAACTGTTTTAATAATTACAGGTTTTAACATGTGAGTTTATTTGAATGTCACGTTATTTTGTAAGTGCAGACTAACCAGCCATGCTTATTTTAAAGACTGACAAGGACCCTCCAAAGAAGAAGCCATGACCCGGTGGGCGCGAGTCACCACCACGCGCAGCAAGAAACCCCTGCCTGCCACCTCCTGGGAGGACATGAAGGAGGGGTCCCTGCAGGGGAGGAGCTCACATGCGCCAGAGACTCAGCAACCCAGAGCCAGTAGGCTGTCCTTGAAAAACGACAGGCCCCAAGCAAAACGCAAAAAGAACAAAAAGAAAAAAGAGTACTTGAATGAAGATGTGAACGGATTCATGGAATACCTGAGACAGAACTCGCAGATGGTTCCCAGTGGGCAGGTGATAACCACAGATGCCCGGGAAGTAAGGAAAGAAATTGCAGTTGCTTTGAAGAAAGACAGTCGCCGGGAAGGAAGACGATTAAAAAGACAGGCAGCCAAGAAAAACACAATGGTGAGATCATTGCTTCTACCGTGTTACTGGCTTTCTGTAGCTAGAAACTGTCATTCGTATTCTCACACATGCACATATTGCAGCAGAGTCTGACTGCTGTGTCCTAGATTTACAAAGCATCTCTGTGAGGGTTTGTGTAGGCCCTGGATGTACTGGTTAGTGATCACGGCACACTACAAAGATGGTGCCACTATTCCCGCATTAGGGATAGAAGACGCTGAAAACAGTATAAACAGGTTAAGCAACTTGCTGAAAACCATTTAACTAGTAGCAGAGGTGAAATTCAAACCCAGGTTCTAACTTCAAAATCTATGTTGTGCTGGGGATGTAGCTTAGTGGTAGAGCACTTGCCTAGTATGTGGGAGGCCTTAGTTTCAATCCCCAGCATTGCAAAAAAAAAAGAAAAACTATGTTCTTACTCTGTCTTTTAATAGCCCCCTTTCATATAGCCATTAAAGAATAATTAGGTACTGAAGGTTAAATATATGTGGTTCCTATTACTTGGAAAGGATGGATGTTCTTCTCCATGAAAAATCAAGGCACAGGGGAGATCTAGCGTGATTCCCATTAGTCACAGAGCAGAGGAATAGAGTTGAAACTGGCAGTCTACCTAGTTGTCGCCCCTTCTCTATCCATGTTACATGGCAAGGAATACTGGGGGCAGCAGGTTTGTTCTGTAGTTCTTAGCCCAAGATTTGAAACTGTATCAGACACAGAAAATGAAATATTTAGTCCTATTATTTCCATTCTCTATGTGAGTTTCTCATTTTCTAGGGGACACTGCAGAAGAAACAGGGCTTGTTGCTCTCAGTTTTTATTCAGCTTTCCAAACGTCGAGCTCAATGTTGGTACCAGTGCAGGCTTAGTGTTAACAGCCTTGTAAATGTCGCTCCTGCCCACTGACAGGGTTGGTTCCATGCCTGGTCATACTTAAACACACCTGTTTGGTAATGATGCTGATGGCGTTCTCCTTCTGGTAACCACTCCTATTTGAATTAGGGTAGAATTTTGTTTAAATTGTAAAATTAATTATTTTAAAATATTTTTAATCCCAGTAAGTTAGTTTATTTTGCAGGTCATTGACATCAGCAGGGTGGTGAATTGCAGACCGTTCGGGAAGTGTTCTGCTATTCCTCCTGAGAAAAGTGTTCCATCTGTGACTAAGGGAGAGGGTGCTGTTTTTCACAAGAAGGAAGACTAAATACTATGTGGCTGTTGTGCCCTACCATCTATATTTTCTTGTTCTTTTTTAAATGACCTTAGAATAATCATCAGTAATTCAAATCCACAAAGTTAAGATGTGGAGGGTAACCATCCCACTCCATAGTCCCATCTCTGTTAAATGGAAGAACCATTCAGTGATGTTGGTGAAGAGAGGGTGTAGAAGTTGCGCAGTGAACCATCAGGTTACTGGGGCTCACCTGGAGGTCACCAGGGAGCCAGGACTTCTCATGCTGGTGATCCCACTCGTTTTAAGTGTAAAGGTCATTGTAGAATTTAAATGTACTTATTTTTCAGCGTTTGTAAACAGGAAAAAAAAAGCAAAGGTGTAAAATAAAGGTTTATTTTTTTTTTAAGTTTTTTTTTTTTTTTTGGTACCGGGGATCGAACTTGGGACCTTGCGCTTGCGAGGCAGGCGGTGGAACCACTGAGCTAAGTCCCTGGCCCTGAATTTTCTTTTTCTAAAGAAGTGCTTATTTGAAGAAAATAATGAAATGATTGTTTTCCCAGAAGTGTTTTTCCACTTTAAATAAAATCTTCTGAATGTCTGCCATCTTCGGTTGTAGCTGATGGTCTCATTCATTGCAGCAGCAAAGGATGCTCCGGATTGCTCAGTAACACGGAACTGTCTGTACATCATTCAGTTTTATGTTGGAGCCAAACATTCATCTTAGAATAGATTATTTCTTTAAAATCTATTGTGGCTCTGTCTAAAGATGGCATTACTATTTCTGCATGTTAATGTGTCTAAGAGTGCAAAACCAAAAGGATGTACTCTCTGCTATAAAACATGCTGTCATTTGAATCATCATTTAAATGGAACCACTTGATCCCAATTCATTCAATTTTGTGAACTATAAAGGTGTAAATATTAGCTTGAGTGATAATTTTTAGAGCCATTGGCCACCTCTTGACAGCAGATGCCCTCTCTTGGGGCAAACGTCTCTCTCAATGAAATGAGTCCATATTTGTTCAGTTCATTTAAGTGGTTGCCTCCTGTAAAGTCGTATATAACATTGTTTCTGAGGTTGATGGATTTATGATTGAAAAATTTCAGAAACATTGAGACCCTCAGATGGCAGTGACATCTCTGATTGTTTAAGAATGTGTAAAGCACTTTTCTATAAATAAAAATACTGAATTTTCCTTTTTAAAGCTAAATAGTTTTCAAAATGAGCAATGTTTTAAAGATGTCTTGGTAATAGGAATTGATGGAGTCACTACTGCATTTACAGTGTAGAAACTCATCTTTTGTTTTCCCAGGTATGTTTTCATTGTAGAAAACCTGGCCATGGAGTTGCCGACTGCCCGGCTGCCCTTGAGAACCAAGACATGGGCACTGGGATATGTTACCGGTGTGGGTCCACAGAGCACGAAATAACCAAGTGCAGGGCCAAAGTAGACCCGGCTCTGGGTAAGTTCTTCCAGCTTCCTATTCGACTCATGGGGAAAGTGGCCAATGAATAGCCAGTTGGGTATGGGGGGGGTTAAGATTTGTTACGAGCATGCCACTTAACATTTTGAAATCTCATAATTAAATTTCAAGTTTATGTGGAAAAATACATTTTCTCTTCAGAGTATTTTAAAGTCATGTGAATTACGTGGCTTATGCATCATCAACTTCATAAGAATTGTTGATTCTTACAGGTGAATTTCCTTTTGCAAAATGCTTTGTTTGTGGGGAGATGGGGCACCTGTCCCGATCCTGTCCTGACAATCCCAAAGGACTTTATGCTGATGGTGAGTGCTTTTACCCTGGTGTTTCAGACCCAGCGAGGTGTCATGCGGAGTTGTGACTCGGTTTACATCTGTGGTACTGGGGATGGAACCTGGAAGTGCTCTGTTTTGAGCTACATTCTTAGCCCTTTTGATTTTTTTCTTTCTCGGCTTGCTAAATTGCCCAGGCATGGTTCCAACCTGTGATCCTCCTACCTCAGCCTTCCTCAGTGCTGGGATTGCAGGCCTGCAGCATCGTGCCCAGTCTTAATCAGTCTTGAATAAACTCTCGGATATGTAATAAAACCTTGTGAATTTCACTATTTTTATCAAGTGCTCCTGTGTGTACTGGGCTTGTTACACAGCATGGCTCGATCCAGTAGTAAATCAGAAGACTGCGGTGTGTGTTTCCAGCAGTGCTTGGCTCAGCATTGTCTGTGAAAGTGTGTTTAATCTAAACTTTCAAACAGCCAGAGCAGGGGCGTTATCGTACACTCCAACAAGACTTTAAAAAGCAGTGTTAGACATTGAATTTCAGCCCTGCATACCACTGAGGTAGAACAGGGTGGAGCACGCTCTTCAGTTTTGCAGTAGTTTCGTTTCTGAATTTTTTCCTTCATCTTTACCTGGCATGGGATCATGCAACCAGCTGACATCATAAGGGCCCTCAAGAAAGTCAGTGATGCCTGGTGCTTCAGGAGTCGGTGGCTGTCTGTGATGGCTGGGGCCATTGGGTTCTAGGCACTGCTTGTCCCGTGCCCTGAGTTCTCCCACAGAGCAGTCCAACAAAAGAGCTTAGCTTTGGAGCCCTCAGACATAGATGATAGCCTAGCACCACATGCAGTAGCTGGGAACTTCAGCCACATCACTGAACTTCTCTGTTAACTCACCTGTCAAACGAAGATGATAAAATCCTATTTCATTGATTCTAAGATGCAGATATTTTCACAATTTTGTATCTGAAATTGGAAAGGATCAGTGGATCCCACATGAGTGACAGCCTTTGTCTTTGTGAGAGGTACGTGAAATGGTGACACGTCTTAGATCAGCATGCCCACCTGTGATGAACTGTGGTGTTTACCTGTGTCATTGAGTGCCTCTCCTGTTTACAAAGCCCTATGAAAGGCTAAGGAGGCCTGGGCCTAGAGAACAAGCTGATCAGCAAAAATGACTTTGAATGGTCAACCAAAGTGAGCAGAGTTTTAAAGAACAGAGAAGGGCAGTGTTGGGAGAGAGCCACTTTTCTAACTAAGTCACCCACAGCGTGAGTGACGATGACAGTGCTTGACTGTGCACCACGGTGTTTGACCACCAAGGGAAAGGCTCATCTTATAGACTGTGTGCTTTATAATTCCAGCCCTGGGATGTTGTTTGGAGGAGACGTGGGTGTTTTGGGGGGCTGGGGTGCCTGGCAGAGGGAAGGCTCTGGAACAGGGTTGGCTCCATCCCTTTTGTAGTGCCTGCCCTGTCTGGTCTGCAGCACAGAGCAGTGAGGCTCCTTCCCTGCCTTTGAGTCATGCAGTGAGAACCCGGCCGTCCTCCCTCAGGAGAAAGCGTCCACACAGGACACCGGCCACAGGTGCCAGGGACCAAGGCCTTGGCTGTCTGACATGGTGCGGTCGGCCGTCGGGCTCCCTTCCCTGCTTCTCCCCAGAAGGCCGTGGTGCTGAGCGAGGTTAGGAACAGTGGAGAGCGAATTGTTAGTAGCGGTGGTGGCCCCGGCCTCGGTTCCTGGCTCCAGCCACCTTTACAGCTGACCAGGATGTGAGGACCGCATGAGCCAGAGTGCTTTGAGACAATGTCAGCCCCAAGTATGAGATGGTACTCACCGGAGCTGCTCTTCACTAGGTGGTGGGTGCAAAGTGTGCGGCTCTGTGGAACATCTGAAGAAAGATTGCCCTGAAAATCAGCGTTTGGGTGAGTTTGGAATCCCTGCGTGTTCACTGGGTTTTGCTGTCAGTAACTTGCGGGGCTGCTCCCGATCTCAGACAAGCTGTTTCCTGCCTTACGCTCTTCTCTGTCCACAGTAGACAGTACTGAGTCAGGAGCCTTAGGTCCTTGCATCAGTTAGGGGTCTCGAGAGGAACAGATTAACATAACGCAGATATATAAAGGATCTACAGGGTGGCCGTCCGCAGAGTCGGGTGGAAGAGTGCGGAAGGGCTGGACAGTCCAGTGGAAAGTCACAGGCCTGGCGCTCACTGCGAGTCCATGTCAGGAAGCTGGAGGCTAGGCTGGAAGCCCAGAGGGACATCCAAAGGCGGTGGTGAAGGCTGGAGCTCCTCAGGAGCAGAAGTGAGCCCTCCCTCTCCTTTGTCTTTTTATTCATCCAGGCCACAAGCCTTGTGGTTGGTGCCACTCGAACCCAGAGTGGGGCGTCCCTCTTCAGTAAATTGGTCATCCAGACACCCGCCACTGTGCTGAACCTGTCGGCTGGGCGTTTCTTACTCAAGCTGATGCCACAGTTAACTATTATACCCCTGGTCTCAGAAAAAGGCCATGGAGCCTTAGAGGACCCTGCTCTCTAAAGCATCTTATTCCTGTGTTTGCTAACTTGTGAGTTTAATTATAATAGAGCCTGTTCCATTGCTTATAGAAAGTATTGGTTCACCAAGAGAAAAATCAAAGCATAAAATGTCAACGTTCATAGGATGAGTATCTGCCTTTGCTTTGTGTGTACTTAATTCAGAGTTGGCAGCAGAAACTGCCCAAAATACTAAAAATGTGTTATCGACATAGCATCTGGCTATTTTCTTTCTACTGAAATACTAGCCTTGTTCATCAAAATCTTCGTAAGTGTTCACTATGCTTATAGCAGACTGTTCTTTTTGGTACCGAGGATTGAACTCGGGACCTTGCACTTGCGAGGCAAGCGTCGGAACCACTGAGCTAAATCCCCGGCCCTGTAGCCAACTTTAGAAAAAGCAGGGATCATCATTCTATTAGTTTGCCTGGATAATCTTGTATTTAAAAAAAATCAAGACCATAGGGTAGCCTGTCAGTGCTTCTTAAGCACGTTTGTTTTCATTTCCTGTAGTCACAGTGCAACACTGTAGCTCTCAGTGTTCTTACTTCCTGTCCCTAGTATGTAAATTTGGAAACCAAGAGTTCTTGTTTACGGTCTTGTCTAGGAGAAGGCAGTCTTTACCACGCTGTAGCAGTGAGATTGAAGTGATGAAGTGGAATTTGAATTCTCCCTCCTGGGAGGACTGCCACTTCCCAGACGACAAGACTGACAAGCAGATGTTGTATAATTTCACAGGTGGAATCTTGTGCTTTTAAAATGAATGCTTCATAAGTCTCGATGTTTACTGACTCTCGGAATTCATTGACTCTGTAATGATGAACTCTGGGAAAGAATGGAAGAGCTTTCTCATCAGTTTGTGCATTGCTGAACAGTAGCAGCGTTTCCCTAATTGGAATGAGAAATTGCTATCAGTTCAGTGAGGAGCTTGTTTTGACATGAATAATGACAAGGAGGGAGAAGAAAGTGAGCAGTTCTGTAATTGATTATAACCCTTGATTTCAGAGCACCACGAGCGATCTGAGAGGGTGTGTTTGATTACCGTTTTCTTACATCCGGGCTTTTCTGTTCCTTTACAGATAGGGTGGTCACCGTTGGTCGCTGGGCAAAGGGAATGAGTGCAGACTATGAAGAAATTTTGGATGCACCTACAGTGCAGAAACCCAAAACAAAGACACCTAAGGTTGTGAATTTTTAGTAACGATTGATGCTATTATTAATTGCAACCTCAGTATTTTCCAAGCTGGGGCTACTTTACAAGTTTGAGCTGGGTGCCCTCTGAGTTGAGCCTGTGTTGGAGATACTGCGCTAGTCCACATGGAGTCAACCAGTTTGCTGTTCTCTGTCCACCAATGAGTACTTCTCCTGGAGAGAAGTGTAAGATGATTGAAGTGGATTCTCTGAAAGGACCTCTTTGAACAGACAGAACTTAGTCAAACTAAGTGGTCATGCACCTGATTGTAACAATCATCTTTTTAAAATGCAAAATTATGCATTAAAGTGAATTATCCCTAAACAAAGCATACTGCTTTGTGTCTGTAAATGAATTTTTGGTTATATTGTTCTCCTGGTTCAAAATACCAATTTATTTAAGAAAAACACAAAAAACGAAAAACAGTTTGTTATTGCAATAGAAATTTATTTATAAGTTGCTACAAAAATCTATTTTAAAAATATTGAATAAAATGCATTTACTGTTCATTTTTCTGAATATCTGATTCTAGATTGAACTGTTATTATTTATGGATATGGATATAACAATGTTTTATGAATCCTACATGGGGTAAACTAGGATTTTGCTTAATTCTTATTTTAGTTTTGACATGAAAAAATTGTTAAAATTGAATGAAATCTCAACAGCGTCTCTTTCGTGTCTTTGATCTTTAAGGGAGAAAGACTAGCGAAAATTCAGTGTGCAGGTTTGGCCAGAATGAAAGCACATTTGTCGGCATGTTTCAGATGAGCCCGGGTGAGAGGGAAGCGTCACCATAATAGTTGAGCACTAATCAGCGGCCCATTAGCTGCTTTGTCTGATTTGATGAATACATGCATACTTAATACATACACTGCACCAGCTCGATGTCACCATTGTACTGTAGTATGGAATGACTGGCGGTTTGTGTGTTTCAGCTGAAATTTTACCTGATTGAATCATTTGCAACTGAAGGAAACAGCTGTGATTAGTTACTGATGCCTCAAAAGCAAAATATTTACCAAATAGGAAAGGAGCGCTTCTCTGTTTTCATGTCTGCACAACTCAACATTTCTAATCTTAATAGGAGCCATTCTTTTCTTTGCAATGTGAGAGGAAAACATGATGACAGATAACTGCTCAGCGTCTCGAGTGACTCTGCCTTAGTCTCGTGATGTGGACACAGCAGCTAATGTCACCGCCTTTCAGGACCAGGTCCCCAGGGCTAATGGCTGTCAGCGGTGTGCCTGTGTGCTTTCTCAGCAGCCTTGGGGCAGGGGTGCTGGTGTTCGCTTTGTCCTCCTTAGGTCTCTGTGCTTCCATTTAATGATCTATAAATTCATGAAGGCAGCAGAAATAGGTTGTGGGTGCTCAGGGAAAACACTCGCGACAGGAGTGCACCGCAGGCTGGGACCTGAGACCCTGAGTGGTGCTTCTTGAGCCGTTGTTGCTGGCTGTTTCCCTAGCTTAGCAGTGCTGGAGGAGGAAAGCAAACTACGTTCCTGGCCTTCTTGGGCACGGGGATTGTGGCCATCGATGGGACCTAGTCACGTGCATGATGCTGGGGAGGAAGAAAGGAGTCCAGACTCGGGAAACACCAGCACGGGTCTTGCTGCTGAGTTCGTAACATACTTGGAATCCCAGTCTGATGATGGGCACCCTACCCTGAGGTGCTTGTAAACCTCATCTCTTCTTAAAAGTTTGTCATTCACTTGGCTGTGGGCGACTCCTGACTCCATCCAGACCTGTCTGCCAGCTCTGCCCCTCTTCTCACTTGCCTGCCAGGCACCCCTGCCCGGTGTTCTGCGGCCACCTCGGGCTCAGTATGGCTTCGTACCGCCTCAGCTCTTCCCTCGGGGAAAATGATGGCGCTCCCTGCTCGTCTCCACTTTTCCCACACCGTTGTGTTCCAAGTGTGGAGCCTTGGTTCTCATGCTGCTTTCCCGGACAGCCCCATGCCCACAACCAGCCAGCCTTATTCTTTTCAAATGTCTGCTTTACGACCAGCTCAGTCGCCTGCCAGCAGCCTTAGAGAAAGTAGGTGTCACGGAAAAATACAGGTGTGTGCTTACTTTTTTAAAAAATTTATTACAGTAAGGGCCGGGGATTTAGCTCAGTGGTACTGCACCTCCCTCGCCAGTGCAAGGTCCTGAGTTCGATCCCTGGTACCCACCCACCCCAAAAAAGAGAATTTATTACAATAAAAGATGATGCCACAGATCCCCTCAAAATCCCCCCCTTGCCTCAAACACACTTATCCTGACATTCTGGCCACTGTCTGAAGCAGTTCTGGAGTCCTTTTCCTCAGGGTCTTTAGTGACACAGTTGGGGCTGCCTCTGTCCTGCATGGATTCAAAACATTTTCCTTTCCTGGTCATTGTGACTTTGGGGTGGAGCCGGAAGTTGCACGGGGCCAGATCCAGTGAATGAGGTGGATGAGGGCAGTGTCACGTTTTTTAGGAGCCTTTTCTGTTGGATGACGCTCGGCAGCGGCACTCACTGTATTTTTCATCACACCTGACATTCAGGAAAGCACTCAGAACTGCTCCAGAAAGTGGCAAGAAAAATGTGCTAAGTGTTCAAAGCAAGGGGGAAAATTTTGAGGAGGATTCATGGCAATATGTCTTTCATTGGATTAAAATTTTTAAAAATGTAAACATTCACTACATTTTTTATTACCCCTTGTAGCATTTCCTTCCCTAATCCTCATAGCTTTTCATTCTCTTACTCTTTTTAGCTTTTCTCTATACTTTACATCTCTGCCTAACATTATGTATTTATTTGTCCCCTCTCCACCAACTTATACCATTACAGGAGGGCAGAAATTTTGTCCCTTGGTCATCCCCATAATCTCAGAAGTACTTGGCTTGTAAGAAGCATCCTCATTTTTGAATAGTGGATTAAATGAATAAATGATATAAAAAGGAATTAGCAGACTAGCCAAGTGACCAGGTAGCTCCTTTAGATTGGGTAGTTGAGGGGAAGCCTCAAAGGGGATGATTTTTAAGCTGAGATGTGAAAGACAAGAAGGAATCAGCCATGCAGTTGATGGAGAAGAGCATCTAGGAGAGGAAGGAGTTCGTGAGAGCCGCAGAGGTGTGTGAGGTTGCTGAACAGCAAGGCCATGAGTGTGATGGAAGCGTGGTGAAGGAGGGGCCTCTTAGCACCCCAAGAAGAAATCTTGTACCCACATGGGGTCGTTTCCCGCTTCTACCTTTTCCAGCCACGGATTCCTTGTCTATCTCTCTGGGTTTGCATGTTCTGGACACTTTATGTAAATTAAATCATACAATGTGCCTTCTATGATTGCCTTTCTTCCCTTAACATAATGCATTCATGGTTCCTCCATAATATTCACCATTTTAAAAACAGTTATATTGTTTATTATGGAGTTGTATGAGTTCTTTATATACTTTGTATGTAAGTCCCTTATCAGATTTAAGATTTGCAGATGTTTCCTTTGTTCTGTGAGCGGTCTTTTCATTTTCTTGAGTGTGTCCTTCAAGATGCAAATGTCTTAAATTTTGATGAAATTCAACTTGGCTATTTAACTTTTGGTGTTTGCTTTTATGTTATGGCTAAGAATTCTTTTATGAACTCAAGGTCACACAATTTAGATTCAAGTGTATGTTTTCTTCTGAGTTTTTAGTTTTATTCCTTACACTTAGGTCTACACTTCAACTTCAGTTCCTTTTTGGTATATGACTTGAAGTAGGGACTGAACATCATTTGTTAGCTTGTTGATATCCAGTTGTCCCCGCACAGTTGTGGAACATTTTAGACTATTCTTTCTGCACTGGATTATCTCGATCCCCTTTTTTAAATAAATAGGCATATATATAATGGTGTACTTCTGGACTTTCAATTCTATCCCATCGCTCTATATACATATTCTTCGGCCAGTATTACACCATTTTAATAACTGTAGCTTAGTAGAAGGTGTTGAGTTCAGGAAATATGAGTTCTAATTTATTCTCTTCCAAGATTGATCTGGCTATTCTGTACCCCCATGCATTTCCACATAAATCTTACCATCAGGATCAACTCATCAATTTCTGCAAAAATGGGGTGGAGGGGCAGTTGAGATTTTGGTAGGGATTGTGTTGGATTTCTAGATAAATTTGGAGACTTTTACTCTCTTAATATGCCTTATTCCTGATCCAGCAGTATGGGATTTCTTATTCTTATTTTTCTTTTGAGTTTTCTGACTAGCTGCTTCTTTGCCTGGGCTAGTATCACTATGCCTGGCAGCTGTGAGGTTAAACAATTGGTGCTGATCATTTTTTCCAAATTCTTCTCAACTAAGCAAGCGTTGAGTCTGGTCAGATAAGGACAAACAGGAGGAGACTTTCTTGGGATGGTTTTTCCAGAGGAGCTTCAAAATCATTTTGCCCTCTCCCATGGCTCCTCATTAGCTGTTTTCATAGCGACTGTTGAAGGCTGCTGGTGTTTAAGGCCACCGAGGGCCTGGTGGAACACAAAATGGGAAGCGCATAAGTTAAAATCCCACAAAACTCATTTTTCTCGAGACTCAGCCTCATTTTTATTATTTTTTGGTACCGGGGATCAAACTCAGCAAAACTACTGAGCTAAAGCCTCATTCTTGAATAAATGCTCCTTATATTATTCCAAGCCTTTTGTTAACTACCAGAGTTATACAAAAATGTATTTTGACAGTTTTTGCTAGTGTTCTTGGAAGAGCAGACTCTAGGTCCCTAGTTCGCAAGTCTGAATGTGCTCTGCTGGAAAGCTGTTGTTATTGTTTTTTAAATAACAGCTTTATAGAAATATAATTCACTTACCATACAATTGACCAGAGTGTAAAGTCCAGTGATTTTTAGTATATAATAATGCTGGGAAGCTGTAACCACAGTCAATTTCAGAGCATGTTCATCACCCCAAAGGAAACCCACACCTGTTAGCAGTCACTCGTCCTTCTGTCCCAGCTCCATAAGCTCCCACCCCGACCCGACCATACAGAGGCAAATTTTCTCCTCTTTAGGAAGTTTTACAGAAGGAAGGGGAGCGCTCGTACAAACATTTTAGGTATTCTGGCTGCTAAATGGAGAATAAATGGGAGTGCAGGAAACACACACACACACACACACACACACACACACACACGCACGGGAGTCAGGAAGTTCCTGCTGTGAGGGAGGACAGTGTCTCCGACTAGGACGGGAAAGTGAAGACCGAGATGGAGAGATGCATGTAAACTTATCTTAAGTACAGGGGAAGCCTGAAATGTTAGGATCCTTTCTTCACCTTTCTTAAAATGTAAAAATATTCTAAAAATCTTTTTTTTTACATCTGGCATGTAATGAATAATCATTATAATTTATGTATCTACTTGTATACAGATATTAATTCATGAAATTGTAGCACAGCCCGAAGTTCATGTACACAAAGACCTGTTGCCACAGACCAGCAGAACTAATCGTGAGCAGGCCTGGGCTGTGTGGTGGCAGGTAGGAGGGAGGCAGACACGGGAGCAGAGGTCGAGACTTGGCAAACAGGCTGAGGGTGGGCTCCATGCAGAGTGCTTGCCCAGCAGGCACAGGCCCTGGGTTTGATCCCCAACACCGCAAATAAAGGGGGGAAAGATTTGGCAAACTACGAGCTCGGTGTATCTAGCCTGTTAAGTGCTCTAAGTCAGGGGAGAGCTCCTTCCCCTTCTGAAAGCTGTCCCTCGAGGGGGCTAACGACATATTCTGGAAGACAAATCACAGCATGGTGGGGCAAGGTGCTGCTGTACAGTTAGGAGGAGGCACACAGGTGGGCCACTCTCCCTCTGCGGCAGTGTGCTCTGCAGGTACTTTGTGCCTGTACATAGCACTCCACACTTCTCGGCCAGCCACCTAGAACATATGTAAAGTTGACACTAGAAACGCAGTGTCCATTACTAAAATTGATCACATTCTATTATGTTTTAATGCCTTCCTAATGTGAAGCCCTAAAGCATGTAATACATCTTGTCAGACACCCTGACAGATACCTGCTGCACGTGGAACCATGCCATACATTAATCAATTACAGCAAATCATCATTGTACACTTTGGAAAATTTCAAACAGAGCACACATTGCCCCCGTGTAGCTTATGATAATTTAAACTAAATTTGCACCACTTTACAGATGGGCAGTTTTGCATCCAGGCAGTTTTCCAGCTTCTGTGCCCTGGAAGAGGCAGAGCCCGGATCCTCTAACACAATTTAAAGCTCTTTCAATGCTAAGTCAAATCATGGGGATTTGACTTGAGATGCAGCTTGGTTTCAACCTCTTAACTGTATTTTTCTTGGTCTGAAAGTCAGTCATTCTGTGAGTCCATCACCTGGCAAGGGTACTTGGCATTAAAGTGGGAAATTAAATGACAGGTAATTGAAAGTTGACCGTTTAAAAGACAGCATCATCAGTAGCATTCTCTATGAACTGTATGCAAGAAGCTGCTGCTTCTTCGATGGATTTTGACCAGCCACCAAGATTTCCGGCAAAGTAAGGGAGGATGCTAGCCGACATCTGGTTCAAGTAAGACACCTGTTTCCAAAAGAAATCACAGCATTTTCGCTTCTGATTGGCCTACAGCTTTCTGAGCAATAATCTGAATTTTGCTGGTGCAGGGGAGGCTGCAGCCAGGAACTGCTGGGGACTTTCTGGACTGGACCCTGAAAAGCTGACCGTAGGAACCCTTTGTGTGGATGCAAAATGCTGGACTGCAACTAATTCGAAATCTGGGGGACCGAGGAGCTTCTCCCTCATCTGCCAGAGAAAACTAAACAGACGTTTCGTCAAACTCACGGTGCAGGAGCTGCTGTCGGCGGGCTGGATGAGAAAACCTGCACACACCACTTCGCCTCTGCTGTACCGCGGAGACGGTGGGATGGCCGGCAGGACCACTGACTTCGCCGCCACCAGGTAGGTGTCCCTGAAAGATGAGAACACGTGTCCCACCCTCTCGTGGGAAGTGGAGAATGTGTCAGGAAACACCTTCCCACCGTTAATGCAGCGTAGGCTTTTCTTTCTTTGTCGTGCTGAGGAACCAACCAGGCCTCCTGCAGGCCAGACAAGCGCTTTGCCACAGAGCCACAGCCCCACCCACAGTGCAATTCATTTATTTATCCAGGTAGAAGAGGGGCGCTGAAGACCCAGCTCTTCTGGACGAGCAGTCTGTGTCAGGAAATCTCTGGGGCCACATTCAGAGGCTGGGAAGAGGAGCCAGGGCTGCAGGAGCAGCTGCTAAGAATCACATGTACACGCACAGCATCACAAAGCTGAGTCAGTCTCCAAACTGAGCTGTGATTCCAGCCTCCTCTCTTTTTTAAATTACAAAAACAACACCCATTGTTTTGAAGAACCACCAAACAATAGAGAATGCTACAGGCTAGAAAATAAGTCTTCCTGTAGTCTACTGAGTTCCAATTCCATTTCCCCACCTGCGTTCATCTTACAAATATGACCTATCATTTAATTTTTCAGCTAACAGGAAGCCTTTAGAGGTGTCTTTATATCAGTGCTTCTATAGCGACTTCCTCCTCTTAGTGACAGCACACTGCTCTGCAGTATGGGTTTGCCGGAAGTTGTGAGATGCACCTCAGGGTTGGGCTTAGGGTGTCTCACGCCTTCTGACCTGATGGACGACACTACTCTGACATCCATGTGGTGCGATCCACGGGACTGCGTGGGACACTGTCCCTTAGACACCATGCTCTGAGTGGTGCGAGTCCCACCAGATGTGCAGCCCGGTTGAGACTCTGTGAATTGTAAACCCACTTCTGGGATTCATTTGTCTTTTATTGCTTTTTTGTTGTTAATGGGCTGTTTCGAAGGTTTGTTAAATGTGGGTTTCCATCCATACAAAACAAGAGGACAAGGAACTGCTTTGGAATCCTCACATGGTGCCTGGCTCACTGGAGCACTTGGAACAGGATTGTTTTCAGTGATAGCTAAAGATCCATCTAGAGAAATTCAAATGAGTGTCATTCAAAGCCAGAAAAGCCTACGCTGCCCTCCCTGCTTTCCATTTCTACGCTGTACTCCACAGGCCTGCCACGCACGGCACCGGAGCTGCATACACTCACCCGTCTTTGGGAGGCTTTCTTCGTGACACGAGTACCACTAAGTCCTTGGGTTTGTCGCCATTCACCTTAGGACAGGTGATGTGATAGATCTGGTCGTCCTCACTCACCTGGCTTATGAGGTTGCAGGACCTGTGGGAGGCAGTGTGGTCAGGGCTCACTCTTCTCCCTGACAGAGTGAGCTCTCAGAAGGAACAGGGCCGTGCGTGCTGGAGCAGGTGCCGGCCCTCAGGACTTTGGAGAAGGGCACTGAGCCGTTTTCCGCAAGACTGTTTCTCTCTAGAATCCAGCAAGACACTCTGAGGCCTGCTGAAGTACACAGACAGCCCCCGAAGGACTGCAAGGTGAAGGGTTGCTGCTGGAAGGAGCTGCCTCTGGAGTCAGCTCGCTTCGACCTCAGACTGCGGCCCCTCTGGCAAGGCGCTTTGTTACTTCTTCTGCGATGTGCACACAAGAGCACCTGTGGGAGGCTGGCTGTGTAGGCTAAGGGAACACCTGACCCAGCGCCCAGCACAGACGCATACCAGAAAGTTTGAATCCCCTCCTCCATCCATTCCAGTGCAGTTTGGACGGGAAGTCAAGGGACATAAAGATCTCAGAAGAAACGTCTGAAAATAATTAACATCTAATTTTAGGCATTGTTCTTCCTAAGGGCTTTGTACTTACAGAAAACATACAAATACGAATGTGAAAATGTGTAAAGGCTTCCTCTCTCTCAGGATATTTTATCACGGCGGCCTTGGCCACGATGTGGTATTCAGGCATCCATACAAAAACAATGCCTCACTTCAGAGATGCTCCACCGTAGGGGTATCAGACAGTCTGCTACATGGCATTAATCACAGCGAGTTTTAGGAATTTTAAAGATGAGCCTCTATCTTGCCTGAATTTGGAAATAATAACATAAAAGAGGGAGCCCATCTCAGCGGCCCTTCTTTTTCCTCAAGGTGTCTAGGAGGCCCAGCAGGGTTCTCAGAAGAGGGGCAGCCGCAGGGCCAGTGTCACTGTCCAGGTCATGGACGGTCACCCCTCAGCACTGTGGGATCAGGATCAGGAACCCCATGGACACCAAAGTTAGGGGACGCTCAAATCCCTCCTAGAAAATGCCTTTGTATTTCCATATAGTCCCTGCATATCCTCCTGTATGCTGTAAATCATGTCTGCATTACTTATGCAAAGTGAATGCTGTCTACGTAGTTGTTCTACTCGATTGTTCAGGGAATAAAGTCAATAAACAAATGCCTGTATTTGTTCCGTATAAACATGATTTCCCCCAATATGTTTGATCTAAGGTTGGCTGGATTCGCAGAAGCAGAACCTTCTGTGGGTGCAGAGGGTGAAGGGTGTCCCAGGAGAGGAAGGAAGCTGGAGAAGACTGGCTTGGGGTGAGGATACAGGAAGTGGCAGGGTAAGAGCACAGGCTGCTGTGAGGAAGGAGTGCTGCTCCCTCAGGACATGACTCACTCCAGCAGCTGCCTGCCGGGAGTGAGGCTTCGAGGATGAAGGAGGAACTTCCCATTAAGGGTCGGGAGTGGGGCGACCTGCAGGATCCCTTCCTCCTGAGCAGGGGGGCTGTGTATGGAGGCCCAAGATGTGGACCTCAGCACCTGGCAGAGCTGGAGTCCAGTCGGGTCCTGCTTCTGGACAGCCAGTGTGAACTCCTAGGCAGATGTCAGACACCGGAATAATGTCCGCCTTGAGCTTAGGGGTGGGACTGCGGCAGACCAGGGGAAAGATGTCGAGGGAACGCAGAGCTCACGTGAGCGGAATAATGCCCATCTGGTGTCAGCAGCCCCGGTGCAGTGTGTCATGTGGGGCAAGCTTGGGAAAGCACTCCAGCAAGTAAGACGGCTTGGCAGTGGGACAGTGGCTCTCTGTGACGTCACAGGCCGGTCAGAGGGAGGAGGAGCGACTTGCTCTTACGTGTAGTGCGGGTCCCACAACGGTCGCTTCGTGAAGTCAGACAAGAGATGATAAGCCAGGTGTGCTGGGCCTTTCACACGCTTTTCAACCCAAACTGATATGACATCTTGCTCTTCCAGGGTGTATATTTTTATCTAAAAGATATTAACAAGAAAAATGAAGTTACAAGAGAAAAAAATGATGATTTTACTTTAAAAGCCACACACAGATACCTGTATTCATAGACTGCTTTTTCTCCTGGTTTGTTTTTTGAGACAGGTTTCACTAGGTATCCCAGGCTGGCCTCGAACTCATGATGATCCTCCTGCCTCACCTCCTAAGATTACAGGTGTGGGCCATCATGCCTGGCTAGACTGAGGATATGAGCTAAGGCATCTTGTCACCTGGATAAAAACAATGCAAACGGTGGCAATTTCACTTCGAATACAGGGATGTCCAGAAATCTGGGCCAGAATGAGAGTCCTATGTCTTGTACACAATATGTCACTTAGGGTAGATAATTATGGTGCAAACAGATGTCTCATGAAAAATAAAGCACATCAGGCCTTCTCCCTTAATCTCCTCATGATGTTTCCCTGCCCAGGGTCAAGAGAAAACTATTACTGGGCTGCTAGGCGGGCCAGCACATCATTTCCCCGAAGGACACAGGGGCAGCGCTGGGGTTAGGACACGTTCCTGGGATATCAGGTGTGTCATAAGGGGCCTAAGGGGACAGGAGCTGCCACAGCCACCTTCAGAACCGGCTCAACCTTTCCCTGTGGCCCGTGAGCCGCACAAAGCCTCCTTTGAGTTTTCTACCAAAGCTCACCCTTCTGGAAACCCGTGCCTGGGCTCACACGTCTGATTCCCTCGGTAAGTGGAGGCCCGTCCTGGGGAGCGTGTGACATGCACCGAACCCTGAGGCTTCCCTGCACTCAAGCTGGCATTCTACTGCGTTGTTGACAACAGGCACAGATGTTCCTTTAAGTAAGAGCACACTTCCTTCCTGGTCGTTCTGTCTCCTTCTCCTTCAGGGCGCTCTGAAGTGAGTGTTGAAGTTTGCTGTCTTATAATCACTTGCATGGCAACAGGCTGTGAGAAGACAAGCAAGCCCGAACTAGCTTGCAGTATATTTTAGTGGTATTGTCTTCATTCTAATGAGATTCTATTTGGATTTGGACTTGGGGATTTTTGGTTAAACTCAAAGTTTTAGAATATTTCTGGAAATGTATGGGCAGGCGTGTCACAGTGGGAAGGGGGCTAAAACTGGTTTTTACAGAACCCCAGGGAAATCCTGATTTCCCTTGGAGGGACCTGAGAATCATGACCAGGTAAAGGGTGGAGGGGGCAGGTGGTGCTCTGCACCCAGGCCCTCCCCAGCTCCTGTGAGCTGGCTCCTGCACTGGTGTCCTGTCCCAGGCAGAGGTCTTCTGGAGGTCTGTGTTGTCCACGTGATTCTCTAATTGCCCCCGGAATTCTCAGCTGCTCCTTAAAGAAAAAGCCACTTGGAAAGAAAAAGCCAGTCCCTCACTCCTCATTTCCACCAGGAAGACTCAGCCGAGCTGCCGCACTGCCTGGAAAGCACCTTGGGCCTCCAAAACCCTTCTCCAAACATCCAGGAGCTAAGAATTCAGGCTCCTGGAGTCCCGAGTGGCTGTCTTCCAGAACTCCGAACTGCTCATGAGCTGACCTTCTCGTTTAAACACTAGTCTCCCACTTGTTAATAAGCTATGTTATAAATGTTAACTTCCACAGTGTCATAGACGTGTGAGGTTTCCACACTATAACTCTTGCTTCTTGTATTATTAGCATTATTCCATTTTAGATAGGAAATAAAATGAGTTAAAATCTTAAGGACTGTCCAATTTCATTACAAATATCAGGCTTCGATTGAAAATAAAGACAGTGGTACCTCGGTTCACGAACTTGATTCCTTCCACCATCTGGGAAAGGTGGTCAAGGGTGAGTTCATTGCCCGATGCCGAGTTTGTGAACAGAAGCAAAATTTACCGAACACTTTTGTTTGTGAACCAAGGTACTACTGTGTCTACCTGAAAACCTGAAATTGAGGTAGCATGGAAGAAAAGCTATGTAGAAAGGAGACAAGAAATATATAATTTTAAAATTGTACTTTTAAGAATAAATGTAGCTTCTGGACACAAAAGTTATTTGGATCTCTTTCCCTTCCAGGAAACTCACTCAAAAAAATTCCTGAGGGTCTTGAAGACCCAAGAAGCCTGGGCCAGCGCTGCTCATCTGTAAACTGCTCTCCCTGTATCAAGAAAGCTCACTGTGGAGCGGGTGGCACGCCAGGCGGTGGCTGGACAGACAACGGGACACACACGCCTGTCACCCATCTTGGGGACACCTTGCCCCCTAAACACACCAGCTCCAGGGCACAGGGCCTCTCTCTGAGGCCCACATTCGAGTCTCTCTGAGTACAGACTTTTAAATTCTCTTTTTGACAACTCTTGAAAATTCTTTTCTCGTGATGGAGTCAGGGAACCTACAGTTTATTCTGTGGAGGGGCCGAGCAGGGCTCCCTGTCTGCACTCTGGGAAGCCTCCTCACACCCATGCAGTAACAAAATAAGCGTGTTTCCCAACAGACACTTGTGTCTCAACTAAATTACTCAACTAAAAGGTGACAGAAGAAAACACAGGAGCTGTTTTCACAGTTAAACACACAGCTGGGTGTGGTGGTGCATGCTTGTAATTCCAGCACTGGGGGGCTGAAGCAGGGCCCTGTGAGCTCAAGGCCAGCCTGAACTACAAAGCAAGACCTTGTCTCAAAGACAAACAAACCAACCCCTAAATACAAAAAACCCATAAAAGTTGCAAAACACGGGAGAAAAGAGGACACCTTAGAAAAACTTTTAATCAGACTTTTGAAATCAGATTTTTGTCATAAATATAATTTTTTAAGGGAGGGATTCAGACTCCATACAGATAGCACGAGAATGTTTCTTTAATAATCCTCTACTAAACCATTATATAAAAATAAAGACGCCATCGATAGCTTTTCTACAACACCGGGAAAACCTGGTGGCTGTGTTTGTTTCCCGCCACAACTCCCCCAGGTGCTGAGGTTTTAAGGCAGCCCGGCCTCCCCTGAAAGCGCGCTTCCGCCTCCTCCCAGATGGGGCTGCCGGCCGCTCAGGGGCCCTGATGATGCAGGGCCCAGAGTCGCACCGCACCGTGAAAGGAAACAGTTTGAGGCATCTTTCGTGGGAGGTAAAGAGAATCCGACGTGTGTGCATCACGGAACCAGGCAGAGGTGGAAGCCCGGCGGGAACTGCCCCGGGCAGTGAGGGGACCGGAAGGGGCTCAGCAGGGCAGAGGAGGCAGCAGGCGAAGCGGACCCCGGGCAGAGCGAAGCACGCAGAAGGGTCAAAGTCAGGGTGCACCCAGCCAAGAGGGCGGACTGGTCTTGGGTTTCAGCGTGAGGCGATCTAGCCTCCGAACGGGACACAGCGCGCCCATAGACGCCGCTCGGTGTAGCACAGGGCTGTCGCGCGGCCGTCGCTTGTACGATTCGAGCACACAGCCAGAGCCTGCGCGCGAGCCGAGGTCAGGGGCTCGGTGGGGACCAGGTGGGCCTCAGAGACCTCACAGTTCCCGCGAACATGGGCTTCCCAGGGCCTGCTGGTACCTCACGGCCCAGAGCTGGCTCGCTCTTACCTCTGATCGCGTGCAGAACCCCGAGAGCTGCAGGCAGAGGGACGGAGAGCGAGACAGAGCGTCTTGGGTAGGAAGTTTATCATCCAGGCAGGGAAGGAGACAGGAAACCCAAACTGCTGCGTAAGCGTAAGGTCAGTCCACTCACTGTGGAACAGACGTCCGGGGAGGGTGTGGACTGTGCTGTCAGATTAAGTTCCAAGAAGAGGTGACAGAAGGAGCCCAGAGCGGAGATCAGTAAGTCAGGAGTGGCCTTAAGGAGAGGGAAGTCTCGGGGGGACGTGAGCAGCAGCGCCCCCTGGAGGCAGGCGGTGGGCACAGGTGCGGGGCTCCCTCCACACTACGCCTAGAGGGCGGAGGGCGAGGCCGCTGGATGGTTTCCACGGAGACGCGGTCGGTACCCGGTACAGGGCGCCAGTGGGGAGCCAGGCCCCTCAACCCTACCTTTTCCAAAGCGCTGGTCACTTCCCAGCCGCGTCTGGCCGCCAGCTCTCTGAGCGCCTCCACGTTGCCCTGGCTCAGGGATGCCTGGAACACAAGATGGGAAAAGCGGGGCGCCCAGGGCCAGATGTGGGGCCGATCTTTTCCCCTTGGAGAACAGGCGCTGTTGACACAGTGAATCTCCGGGGCTCAGAACTGAGCTGCAGCAGCCCAGCCGTCATTTCTATCTCCCCTTCTGCAGGTAAAGTCTGACATCGTAACTGTAGGCCTAGCACATTGGTGTCATTTTAGCTGATGTCCTGAGCAAAGACAGACTGTCCTTCCTAAGTCATTAAAACTTATTTTTAAAAATAATTTTAGGGGCTTTTTGAGACAGGGTCTAGCTGTGTACTTCAGGCTGGCTTTGAACTCGTGGTGAGCCTCCTGCCTCAGCTTCCCCAGTCCTGAGATCACAGGCGTGCACCACCATGCCCAGAGATTATGATTCATAACTGATGAGTAATAAGTAAACTCGGATTTCCCTTTACATGTTGTTTATAACTATTCAAATGACCACCACTTTGCGGTTTTATAAAAGCGCAAGCTCATGGGCATGATGTTCCGCGCAAATCTGGGAGAGACACCAGGCCACACGGAACAGAACTGTTGGCACACAGCTGGTGGCAGGGGCCCCAGACGGCAGAGGAGACGGGACGCCCGCTGTAACCGGTCTCGGAGCCCAGGTCCTGTTTCAGACTGAACCGAGGCTGCTGCAGCCACCTTCTAGCTGTGTGGTGCCCGAGTCGGTCAGGCAAGCAGAGCCCTGTTTTCGTCAGGACTCGTCTCTGCCGAGCTCTGGATGGTAAAACTCTCACCTGCTTGCTCGTGTCCCAGTGTGTAGAGATGGGAACCTCTTCTTTGTGGGAAATAACATATTTCCTGGAAAAGATTTAACACGTTAGCATCGGTTTTCTTCCCTTTATGTGGCACACGATGGTCACCATGACACCTTTGAGAGCCACGGCTGGCAGTGTTAAAGCTGCTTTGCTGGTGGCAGAGCCGGCAGCAGCCTCTCGGCCTCCAGGCCTCAGACCTGGTTTTCCCTGATGGGGAGCATTTGTTACAGAACCAGTCCTGGGAGTCCTCACACTGGGGCCCTCACCTGCCCAGGCGAATTCTCTTGCGAGCGATTGCTCCCCGGTAGCGTCTGAAGTCATCCTTTAGGAAGAAGAGTAAAATGGGCCAGATTCTAGCATCTCAGTTCCAGTCCTTAAACTCCTTCTGGAGTCGGTGGGAATGCGGACTGGGGGCCCGGCTGCCCTGTGATGGGGACCCAGGTCTGGCTGCCCTGCCGAAGCCACAGAGGCGAAGGCGGAAAAAGGGGCCTGCAGGTCTCCCACTGGGATGAGAGAGCAGCCTCTCAGGCCCGGAGAAAGGGCAGCCCTGGGCCAGGGAGGGACGCTGGGGATGACTGTGGCATGGCACTGACTGCGGACAAGGCCGCAGAGATGGGACTCAGGAAGGGGACACAGAGGCCACACCCCACCCACAGCAGCACGTGGCTGCCTACAGGTGAGGGTGCCAGGGCCTCTTGTCACTCCAACAGGTCACCAGGGTGACATGGAAAGAAAGGGGAGGGAGGGAAGAAAAGGAAAAGGCAGGGCAGGAGAGGACAGGGGAGGGCAGGAGAGGAGACCAGAAGAAAGGAGAGCGGGGAGGAGGAGAAAGGACAGGACAGGCCTGTGCCACTCTGTTAGGCAGAAAAGGGGCAGCAGCAAAGGTGTGGCGGAGGCCGAGCAGGAGCGACGAGGCACGGCTCTGCCCGATGTGGTTCCTGCTGCACCCATGGCGCCAACCGACCTTGGAAATGGGTTTGATCTTGGGGAAGGTGACAGGCTCCTCCCCATGGTCCACAGCAGTGTAGATGAGGAAGGCGCTGTTGATGTGCCGGCCTCGGCCCGCGGCCCACTCCTGACAGTTGAAGGCCTCCACGCGCACCCCGACCTCCACACTGCAAGGGACACGGGCGGTGGCACAGAGCAGTGGGTGGTGGCCTCCCTGCCCACCGCCCTCCATGCAGCAGCTCTCCAGAGGCTGGCTGGTCTCCGGCAGCAGCAAATCTGCACAGCAAGTGGAGCCTGTCTTTGGGTGCTATGCGGCTGCAGGAAGCCCCGACAGCGTTTCCAGGGCCACAGGGGGCCTCGTGTCTACACACTTTCACGAACATGCGCACATGATCAAAGCATGGCATGGATATTGAAATAAGAAATGATTACAGGAGGAGCCGAGGATTTAGCTCAGTGGTGCTGCCGCCTGCCCCGAAAGAGTTCCATCCACCAGTACCAAAAAAAAAAAAAATTACAGGAAAAGACTTCAGTCTTTAGTGTCCTGAATTGATTCAAAACATTGATCTTTGGGCCGGGGATTTAGCTCAGTAGTGCCAGTGCCTGCCTTACAACCACAAGGTCCTGAGTTTGACCCCTGGTACCAAAAAACAAAAAACGTTGACCTTTCCTGGTCATTTTGACTTCGGGGAGGAGCCAGAAGTCCCAAGGTGCTAGATCTGGAGAATAAGGTGGATGAGGACACAGCGTCCTGTTTTTAGGAGCTGCCTTCCTGCTAGGTGCTGCAGGGTAGCAGCAGTCACTGAATTTTGTTTTTGTTTTTTCTGGTACCAGTGACTGAACTCGGGACCTTGCACTTGTGAGGCAAGTGCAGTGCCGCTGAGCTAAATCCTGGACCCTAGTCACTGTATTTTTGACCATACCTCATAAAGACACTCAGGAAAGAGGACTCCAGAGCTGCTGCAGAAAGTGGTGAGGATGGGATGAGTGTGCGCAAAGTAAACAGAGGGCTGTGAGGGGATTCAGGCGAGATGTGTTTATCTGAACATTCAGGGTGAAGTCGGATCACAGCCTGCGTTTTGGTAATGGAGTAGGGGAAGTTAAATTGTGACAAAGTCAAGTTCTCTTCTCTGAGAGTAACAGTTCTGTAACTTAAAAGAATCAAATGCTGAAGTTAAAATAGGGAGCAAAGATACTCATTTTGCTTTTACATTTGAAAAGAAAGAATACTAACTGCAATCTTTCATTATGTATTGACAATAATAAAGCAAGCAGGAGGCAGTTTGGGCCCGTGCTGTAAATAAACAGGTCCACTATGAGTCGGGTGGACATGTGCCCACTGGGACTGTTTGCAGAATGAGAGGGAGAATTAATAATTAGGCCAGGATGACAGGCACAGAGCAGAACCGTCCTGGGGCAGCAGGCGCTGCCGCCACCTTACGGGACCAAAGCCCAACCAACTGCAGTTCCCTCAGCATGAGGAGGGCCCAGGAAGAGCAGGGTTCAAATGTGTGGCCACGGATTCCCAAGAGAGAGAGGCTTAAAAAACCAGAGAGAGCATGTTTCCTGCTGTGAAGAAGGATGCACATCAGTCATCTGTAGGGAAATGGAGGCACCTTGAGAGCATCGTCACGTAAAACAAATCAGACTCAGGAGCTGAGCTGTCACAGGGTTCCTCTTCCATGAGAAATTCAAAGTATAAATAAAGAGCAAGATGAAAGATAAATCTCAGGAGACAGAGAGGCAGGGCCTTTGCAGGAGAGAAGGGGAGGGAGGTTGCAGGGGTGGGGAAGGGATGCGAACGATTGAAGGTGTGTGAGGCGCACACCAGCTCTCCATGGCCGAGATGGAGGAAATCGCTATGCACTGCGAGATGCGCCGACACAAACAGATTAAAAAGGAAACAGTCCCTGCCTTCACCTCTAAATCGAGCTAGAAATAGCCGCACCTGCGCCAGGCCGGGTCACCGCGCAGCAGCCTAAGGCTAAGGGCGCCTTACCAGCTCTGGAACGTGTTGTTGACAACGGCGCTGAAGACCAGCCGGTCCCCGACGGTGGAGGCACCCCGGAACTTGAACATGTCCACGGACTTCAGGAAGGGGTGCCCTCGGCACAGGCGGCTGGGCGCAGGAAGGGGAGGGAAACCGCCGTTAGTTCACTGAGCAGGTGCGGCAGCCCCGCTGCAACCTGACTGCTTTTTTCTGTTTGTGACACAGGGCCTTGCTTTGTAATTCAGGGGCCCTAGAACTCACGGTAGCTCAGGCTGGTGTCGATCCTCCTGCCTCAGCCTCCTGAGTGCTGGGATTACGGTGTGCACCACCACACCCAGCTCAGACTCTTAACTAAAGTGAAATAAGTCCCCTGGCGGTGCTTTCTGAGCCTAGTTGTGTACATGGGCTGCAGTTGTGTGGGAAGCAGCACTTCTCTGGCGGGGATTTGGCCAAGACGCGGGAGCCTTCCGCTGCTCTTGGTGCCAGGAGGCCGTGACTCGCAGGCTGGCGAGGGCACGAAGAGAGGCAGCGGCCAGCAGGGGCCGCTTGATCCTCCCAGCGCAGCATCCTGCAGTCAACCCAGGTCAAAAGGCCGAACTTTTCTCCCACATAAAAAGCACCCGGATGCCTGAGCCAAGCCTAGACGACCACAAGACACACAACTGACAGCTTGTGCGCGTGGGGTTGGAAACCACGATAACGAATATTTAAGTGCAGAAATGCCGTATTTTCCTGCATGTTAAATTCCAGTTACTCCAGAGAGCTGTGCCCTCGCTGGGGGCAGGGGGGAGCGGAGCCCAGCACGCTTAGCTATAGCTCAGCGTCTGCAGCAGAGCGAGTCCAAGGTCAAAGTTATCCTCATTAGGACAGCAACCTTGTTTCCAAAGCAGGCTCTCTTATCCGTGTGCAGTTTATGGACAGGACAACTGCGGGCTTCTAATGATAGCCATAACTACGGATGTACCAGTAATATATATTTTTTTAATTTGGGGGAGGTAAAAATTTAATTTTCAGTAATTACAAAAATTATCAGAAGGAAGCCCTGTTCATATGCATTTCCATAGCACTGCTTTTTCATAAGGCTGCTCAGTTTCCTACCTGGCGCTGTCATGGATAAAATGCCCTTCTTAGAGCTGAGTGGGTTTTCGTATTTCTCTAAGTCCTATCTCTCTCTCTTCTTATTTTTCAGCCAGGTCTTTGGCCATAATGATTTAACCAGCGCCACAAAGGTCAGTCCTAATTGGACACTGCCTGTATAAAGAAGGTCTGTAACTGGACTCCTGTTTGAGTGCACAAGTGCCTTCCATTTCTGTTCCCCACCTGCCTGGCCACATATGTTGTCACGGTTTCAGTGTCATGAGATCAACATTCATAATTAAAGTATTCAAGCGGTCATTTCCATTGTACTGGTGAGCCCGGGACCAGTCATCTTTGTACTAAAGGAAGAAGAACCCTAAGGTAAGCGGGCAAATGGTTAATAATTTCCTTGTTTGTTTTTTTTGGTACCGGGGATCGAACTCCGGACCTTGCACTTGCAAAGCAGGCGGCAGAACCACTGAGCTAAATCCTGGGCCCAATAAGTCCCCTCATTTTGATAAATGGCGACCCTTGCCTGTTTTTGCCCTGCCCTGATCCCGGAAGGCCGGTACCTGGATCTCCCACGCCTTCTAGTCCCCTCCCCTCCCCCCAAGGCCCTGCCAAAGCTGAGGACCCTGCAGCGATGGTGGCTGAGCTCTCCATCCACGCCATGACCTGGCCCCCGAAGGTGTTTCCGTGGTGGTTCGCGTGCGGCGGCAGCACCAGCTCGATGCTCTGCACGGCAGTGCCGCTGGTCCCTGTCGCCGCCTCCTCGTCGCACACGGGATCTGCAGGGCGACATCGGGCACGGGAGTGGACTGAGACCTGCTGGGCTCCTCAGGCCCTGCAGGGAGCCCACGCCGGGCCTTTGGGAAGGCCAGGGAGTGCTCAGCAAGTGCAGTCTGGGGAGCGAGCGGGCTCCCCGGTGCCGGGAAGGGTGGACAGTCACGGGGGCGAGGGGCGAGGGCACAGGACAGCAGAGCAGACAGACTTTCTGCAGACCCCAGCACCCAGCAAGAAGCCCACTGGCCTTTGGCTGAAGGGAGCGCCGCTTAAACCCGAGAGGTTTTAATTTTTCCTAGTCCGTGTCTGAGTACACAGCCTTGGCGTTCCTCGGCAGGGAGCTGGTACACGTGCGTGACTCGTGTTCATTCTTAAGTCCCTCCTATCTCCTGGTCCCCTTCCCATCTGCAAAACATCTGTCTCTCTGTTTCCTGTTATCTGTGTGGTTTTTAGCTCTTTCATTTTGTTTGTATTTTGGGTTTCTCATATAAGAGAAGCCATGTGATATCTAAGCTTGTGTCTGATTTATTTCACTTATGATCTCAAGGTGCATCGATTTTCCTACAAATGAGTCAAGTTTGTCCTTCTTTATGGCAGAGTAGTGCTGCATTGTGTGTAAACACCACATTTTCTTTATCCATTCATCTGTTGATGGACATATAGGCTGCTTCCAAGATTTTGCTATTGTAAATTGTGCTGCTGTAAACATGGGTGTGTATAGATCACTGTAATGTGATGTCTTTAACTTTGCTGGATGGAACGGAATTTCTCGTTTCAGTCTTTTGGGAATCCCCATGCTGATTTCCACAGGGGTGGTGGTGTTCCGGGGGGGAACGCTGGGGTCTGGGCTCACGTGTGTACACTGACGCAGAACTTCTCGAGCCGCATGCTCTACATGGGGGCCGTTGTTGTTTACCAGTTACACCCCCTGTGGCCATTACAGAGAAAGGAGCTGGGGAAGGGACCCTGGGGATAGCAGCACCACGGAGCTGTCCTGTGGTGAGCAGCACAGGGCGGGCAGGGAAGTCAGGGTCCGCTCTTCTTCCCCACACCCGTAGCTTCTGAATCCCATCTGCTTCGTGCACTGACAGACAGACTGGTCTCTATCTGAGCCTCGGAGAAGTCCTGGATCCGGCTCAGGGCGGTCACAGGGACTCAGCTGTGCATCCTGCGTCACCCAGTGAGTCGCTGCGGGGAGGTGGGGAGGATGCAGAAATCAAATCGGGGACCCTTCCGGGCCTGAAGCAGGGGCAGAGCTGAGAGGGCGTCTCGAGCGCGTCCTCCGTGTGCTGGGAACCGGCACGGCCAGCCCTGGATGGGTCCCAGCTGGGCGGCCCGGAAGTGTGGTCACAGAGAACTGCACCCCCTTCTCGGAGAGCTTCCATTCATGATTAATTGGTAGTCTTTTAGTTCTTTTTCCCTTTGGTCCCATTGATTACTTGAGTCTCTTCCTGAAAACACTCACTTATTGCCATGTTGATAATTTCCTCATTTTGATAAAAGCCAACATTTTCCTCTGTTTTTTCCCTAATCCTTGGGGAGCTGACCCCAAACCCTTTCTACTTTTCTCCACCACATCCCCAAATCACACACCAAAGGTCAAAACCAAAACCCTGCAGCAACAGTGAAGAGAACGTTGCGTAGGACAGTTCCGGTGTGGGTGTGGAGCCCAACCCTTCCGGCTGTCTGCGAGTCTTGTGCTCCTGTCCAGCCTGCAGCTCGCTCCCATCTCTCCAGCTGCATGGGCTTTTCTGGGTTGCTCCAGGAAACGCTCCTGCTCCATCCGGATGCTGTTCGTGGCTGTCCTGGTGAGCCCCCAGCACCACTGTCCCGTGCACCTCGGCTCAGCGCTGGGCCAGCTCACTGGCCAATTCCTCAGGGAGGCCTGCCTGGGTGGCCAAAGCCTGTCCCAGCACGAGGGCCCCACTGGACGGCCTTCCCCCACAGCCTTGGGTTTATGTTCAGTTGTGAGGTCTTTTATTATCTGGGCCCCTAGAGCCTGAGCTCTTTCAGTGAGGGATTATGAGTATTTTCCTGGATCTGGTCCCCCAATCATAAGAGCAGACAGGTGAGCTCCGCTTCGCTGACTCGCTGCACACGCGCGTCCTTCCGTTCACACAGGACTTTGAGGCCCTGCTGTCAGCTGTCTACAAAAGCTCCACTGCTCCCCAGTTTTGCTTACACAGTGTTATCAGACACTGAACTTTTTCCAGTTTAGTGGGTGTGAAATAGTACTTCGTGTTGGTTATAATTTGCATTTCACAGCTCACTAATGAGGCCCAACCTCTTTTCATACGTACATTACACACTCGTGTCATCTCTCAATGAAATGCCTCTGTCATCTGCTTCGAACATCACTTCTCCCCCACCTCAGTTAGCTGCGTTGGACTCTCACGGCCTGCTCTACGCCTCCTGGCCTGTCGTGCCTATTTCCTGCCTCTGTGCCTGTCTGGCTCTATTTTGGGTAATTCCTTCAGTTATATTTCCCAAGCCAGGCTTGGTGGCCTATGTCTGTAATTCCAGCACTCTGTGAGGCTGAGGCAGGAGGGTTACAATTTTGAGCCCAGCCTGGGAAATTAATTGGGATCCTGTCTCAAATCCATACAAAAATTTAAAAAGGGCTGGGGATGTAGTTCAGTGCAAAGGCCCTGGGCTCAATGCCCAGTATCAGAAAATAAAAATGAATAAATAAATGTTAAAGTATCCAGTTTATTAATATTGAATGTTTCATTCATTCACCGAGCTTGGAATTTTAATCACTACTTTTCATAGAAATTCCCTGCCCAAGCTTCCTGGCTATCTCTGTGTTCCTGGATCATACTTTGGATACCTTTTCATTCCTTAAAACCCAATAGCATTCCACTTCCAGTTCTTTACATGATAAATCATATCCACAGACACCATGGGTCTCGCTTTCATCCTGTGCAGCCGAGCTCCTCCCAAGCCCAGTCTTCAGAAGTACACCACGTTTAGAGCAGCACAACTCATCACAGCTAAATCTGGGAAGCAGCCTGTGTGTCCATCAACAGGTGAAGGGATAAAGAAAACGTGGTGGTTACACACCATGGAGCACTACTCTGCCATAAAGAAGGATAACCTTGAGTCATCTGTAGGAAAATGGATGCACCTTGAGACCATAATGGTAAGTGACGTAAATCAGACCCACAGCTTAAATATCCCATGGTTCTCTTATGAGAAATTCAAAATATAAAGAGCAAAATAGAAGATAGGTACTAGGAGTGAAGGAGATAGAGCTTTTGCAGACGGGAAGGGGGCGGAGAGATGGGGGCTGGAAAAGAGACTGCAGATGTGTCATGTACACGCGCCAGCTCTCCTTGAGGATGAGATCACTGTGCGGTGCAAACATCTACTAATAAAAATAAAAATATTCCAAAGTCCAGGTTTTAGCGGTCGGGTCCAAGGGCTCCTGTGAACAGGGACAGGCGGATGTTAACAGTGAGGACCACAGCTTGGCCCCTGTGCCCTGCGGCTCTGAGCAATCCCTCTGCGCTTACCCACCTCGCCCAACACGAGCCCATCGTGCGAGCACCTTCAGCATCTCCAGTTATGGGTCTGCTTTGGTCACCATTTACCTTGCCTTGTGAGCTAAGGAAACAGGAGTCTCAGTATGGACAGCAAGCGGTTTCCTCAGTTTTCCTCGCAGCAGAGGCTCTGAGTGGCCCTGTTGCTCTCAGAGCTCTGGTGGCCGCTGTGGCCCTCTCCACCCACACCCCGCAGAGGACAGAGGACGTGGCTGTCACGGCCAAAGGCTGGTAGCCCGTGACTCCACCCGCCTCCCCTGGGCGCACAGATTTAGAAACCTTCCTGCACAGTTGAGTTGGGCTTGGGAGTGTGGCAGCCATGACAAGCTGTTGCTCTCCCTGTCTCCTCCACCCGCTTCACGGTCACCTCCGTGTCCCCCTCCTGCACCCCACGTGCACTCATGCCGGGGTCACCAGGGACCTCACGGATGCCAACCCGGGGACAGGTCTTACCCCTCGCTTCCTGGAATGCAACGGCTGCTCACTTCTTCCTTAGTGAATCCCTGGGCTGGGGCCCTGCCCTCTCCTTCCCCCGAGCCCCCGACGCCTCTGTCCATCCTCCCTCCTCCTGCGGTGCCTCTCAGACACCGTGTCCTGCAGGCTGGCCCAGCACCATGGCTGCGGGCTTCCCCTGGGTGACGCCACGGACTGTTTGAACTGCCGCCTCTCAGCCACTGTCTCCTGACCTGGGCTCTTCCTCGTGGGGTCTGCAGGCCTGGCCCACCCCTCAGGCCTAAAACTGAGCGGTCACCACCTCACCAAGCCCTCGGGCCAGGTCACCACCCACCCGGCTGCTCACACGCCTGTCCTTCCTCGCCACCTTCCCTCCGGCTGGCTGTGACCCTGCCCTGCCCATTTGACCTCTGCACGTGCTGACTCCTTCCTCTTCTCTCCTTCGACCCCTGCCCAAGTCAGGCACCCTCACCAATGCTTGGCCTCCTCCCTAGGCCCTGGCTGTATCAAGCGGATTAAGTGTGAGACTGACCATGCCACATCCCTGCTCCACATCTCCAGGGGCTCCTGCTGGGCACAGCAGAGGCCAAGCCCCTTCACACCCCCTGGAGGCTTCTACTCACAGCTCAGCCGCTTCAGTGCCCACCTGCTTCCGTCTTGGCTGAAGGTGGCCCCTGCCCACAGCCTGCTGGCATGTGCCACAGTGCCCTTGCTCATGCTGTCACTTGCTTATCTCGCCTCCCCAGAGCTCTTTCCTGAACCTCTAAGAGCTCCTCCTCTGGATCCACAGTGTTTCGAGTCTATACCTGTCTAGTATTTTGAAACTACTAGTGTGTCTTTCTCTGCACTCAATGAGATTTTCAAGAGCAAAGAGAGCATTGTTCTTCCTTTTGCCTCTTGCAGCAAGCCTATTCTTGGCATCTGGTGGGCATTTAGGACATATCTGTTGGAGAGAACTAGGCAGGCAGTGTGTTATTCTTTCCTTGCTTGCTGCTGAGAGGAAAGGAGATGACCAATCCATCCACCCACCATCCACCCACCATCCATCCATCCGCCTGTTCTGTCCACACGGCTGTACACAATCCTATCCATCATCACATATTCACTTCCTCTAGCAAGCACTGGACCAAGGTGGCCAGCCCTCCCAACACAGCAAGACCTTTTCCTAGGGGAAGCTGCTTGCCCTACACGGTTCCAGGTTTCGGGGGTGGAGAATGATCTTGAGACATGTGGTTTGGATGAAGCACGAGTTACAGCAGAAGCAAATTCCCGCAAAGGTCTCTGGAGAAACGTGCACAGACTCCAGAAGTCTTTTCTGGCCTCACTAGACAAGTCTTTTTGGCTTTCCAGTGGACCGTCCTACTTTCTCCTGACAAATGCAGGTAGGGTAATTCCGACGAGGACAGCAGGGTTTTTAGGAAGTCACACTGGTGCACAGCCATTCTCTGCCGACACCTGGGAGACCTGCGTGTAAACCTGGTGAGGGTTAGGCTGGGCGAGGGTCTGTCTCTCATTTCCGTCCTTTCCTGGGATTTCCCAGGGAGAATTCAGCGGCAGCACTCATGTGGGGTTGCTGCTGTCTGGGTTTTGCTTTTTAAGCACGGTTGTCTGGTCTGCCTTCGGGCTGTCCTCACAGTCCAGCTATCTAATTACTTGTGCAAAATGCATCTAAAACATATTTTCAAAGGGAGACTCGCTCCTCTGAGCATAGTCATAGATGATAAAGGCTTCATTTCTGTAAAAATAACTTAGGGTAGCCTTACCCTTTCAGTGGTAGACAAATAAAGAACACTTCAGGCCCTGGAAGTACAGGCTTGACGAATCATCCCTTTCCCCTAGGCCTGACTGTCCCTCTGAGATGATCTGAGATGATCTCAGATGATCTCTGAGATGATCTCCTAGATGAGTGTGGGCTCAGGACCCGGTTTCTCCCATTGCCCTAGACCTTGAGCTCCCCCCTCAGCTCTTCTAGCTTCAGTTCCTTGAGGCAGAAACCTTTGGAAACCTCTTTTCCAACCCAGAGGGCTTCGTTCGCCCATCGGTCCTGAATTGCAGGGATCACCAACTGCCCGGTCCCTTGGTCGCACCCTCCCCTGACATCCTCCAGCACAGGGAGGACTTGGGTGTCACCACTGTTGGCAGAATGGCCAGTCTCAGCCTTTTCCAGCCACTGGGTTCACTGTGGCACGGGCCTGAAGTGTAAGGTGAAATCCACCTTCACTTGCCTGATTGGGGAGTCCTAGAATGACGACGTTACTGACCTTCAAACTTGCTGCTTTCCTGCATTAAGCTCTGAAAGGTGTCTTCATGTTGTAATCGAACTTTCCTTCTCTCGGAAGCCAGATCGTGTTCCACGCGATCTTGTTCAGTCAAGAGTCTGACTGGTTTTAAATGAATCTAGAGAAAGAAAAACACTGGTCTTTCATTGCCTTGTTAAGTTATAAAAGCACACCATACATTTCACAGAAACAAATGGTACACCACACGCATTTGTAACACTGCATTTAAGGGTATTTTCATGAAACATATACTAAATTTTCTAAAAAATATTTTTAAATTTTAAAAAATCAGCATAGGTTTACTTATTCTTTCATTTAATATGATGTACTTTAAAAATTATCCCTGTTTATTTTTCTTGATTTAAAAATGTTTTCAGCAGAACTAGAAAACATGAAATGCTTTTGATTGAGGAAGGAGACAGACTATGACTCCACCGAATTTTTATCAAGAAATGTCTCCTATCTTTTGCAAAGATAAGACGTCAAGGGGGGGAATTGAGAGGACCTGGAGAAATTATCTTGCACAAGAGATCTTTCCAATTGGAGATTTCATCACTTGGTAAAAACATCATCTACTAAGCAACTGGAAGGACTGATGTGTCAAAACCAAATGACCTCCAGAAGCCTGGACCTCCTGGACCTCCAGTGCCAGAGTACTCAGGGCTCAGTCCCCTCCTCCTCCCCAGGTGGCTCTTGGCTGACCCTGTGCAGAAGGACACCTGGGTCTGGTCCTGACCCTGGGCCCAGATAGGCAAGAAACAAGCCAGTGATTCATCCTAGGCCGCTTAAGGCCACGCTCCCCTGGACTGCCAAGTCCAATCTGGTCGGGAACATGTAGACTGATCGCTTCTGTTGGTTAACCTCATTATGTAGTCTTGTTTCAGCTGCATGGCTAGTGAGACATAAGAGACCGCTCGGTGAACTTGTGCTTTGGTTGTCCTGAAACCAAGGCATCTTGCAGATATTTTGGTGACTCCTAAGCTACATGTATGACTGCAAAGGACCCTGTGAGCTAGGGTCAGCTGCAGCAGAGCCTCTCTGGTGTTGGTCTGTGGCTTCTTTCTCCTCCAGCTTCTGCAAGCCTGGGGTGAGTGGACCCCATGAACCTCTCTGCAGCCTTGCAGTGGTCTCACCCATGACTGAGACTTGTTAATCATTGCCAATTGTGTCCTGGAGTAAACTCACTTTAGACCAAGATCCAGTTGGTCCTGTTGGTTCAAACCAAACCATTCCTTTGGCATGGTGCTCTGGAGGAAGAGCTACTGGACAAGAATGCTACCGACCGCACCAGAAGTTAGTGTGGGAAGGTGCTTCGCAAGTGAGGCTATTTGAGTCACTAGTTACAGGGACAACACAAGGTGTTGACTTCCCAGAAAGGCTATCTGGACAGTTCTTCACTGGGCAAGGACTAGGCATGGGTGCAGAAGTCACATACCTGGGGAAAGAGGAGTCTGAGGCCTGGGTGGGGGAGGATGACCCTGCTCCTCCATCTGAAGGTGTGGGATGGCCATGTGTACACACTCCTGTCACTTGGTTCAGATATGGAACTCTGTATCCACCCTGTAATTCCCTCATTCCTCAGAGTTTAGAGATTTGGAGAAATTCCCGGAAAAACATTGGGTTTGGCGAGACCTACAGCAACGTGTTAGATGTTCACAGATGTGGGACCCTTGGGAGGCGTTATCAAAGTGCAGATTCTTGGTCACGTCCCTTCCTTCGGGGGTAAGATGGGATCTCGGCATTGTTTTTGTTTACATTTCTCTAATGGCGAGCGATGCTGAACATTTTTTCATTATTTACCGGACACGTATACTTCTTCTGAGAAATGTTTATGCATTTCCGAAGCTCATTTTTTGACTGAGTCTTTATTGGAGGGGTCTCTTTTGTTCTTACCCCAATGATTCCAACTCAGCGCATCTTTGACAGGGCTCAGAAAGTGCACTTTAAGCAATGTAAGTAGCTGATGGGAATTTTGGTTTGGAAAGCTGCAGTGGGACAGCAGGAATCTCCCCTGCAGCATGTTAATGCCAGGCCAGACTAGAGGGTTCCCAGGGTGTGTGGCAGCGGGGTGCCCAGGAGGCCGCCACCTCTGCACCTGTGCCAGGGGAGCAGCAGCTGGCGATCTCATGCTGGGATTCATCCCCTGGCCCAGTACTGTGGAGAAAGTGTGCAGAGGGATGCAGGGACTTTGGTCACTTCGCAGGCCAACTGGAGAGGCCACTGTGCCCATGCCTGGAGCTGCCTTGGAGGGAAACATTTATGTTCCAGAGGAACTCCTACATTTCAATAATGCTGAGTAAATGGCCCGCCCCAGGCACCGACCTACAAGGCTGGGAGTGAGGACCTCCCTGTGCCTACAGAGGAGCAGCGCGTGGGGGCCAGGCCTGCGCATCAGGACCCAGCAGTGCTCAGAAGGGTGATGTTTTTACCCCAGATGGCCCAAGACTTGTTTTTTAAACTTTAATAACTCAGCAATTTTGGCATTTTTCCTTTGAATATAAGAAAATGATTGGATCCTAACAGGCAACTGCTTGCTAAATTGCTCCTTTTTAAACTTCTTTTAATTCAATTTTGAGTTACATAACTGCAAAAGGAAAGAAGTGAAGCAGTAAGCAATATATTTGAGAAACTAATGTGGCTGTTGGGTCATTTAAAACTAAATATTTTAGCTGGGGACAGTAGTGCACTCCTGTAATCCCAGCCCTGAAGGAGGCTGAGGCAGGAGGATCCACTCAGGCAACTTAGTGAGACCCTCTTTCAGAATAAAAAAGAAAAGGGCTGGGGTGTAGTTCAGTGCAAAGGCCCCGTACTGCTAAAAATTGTATTGCTTTCTTTTTCATGAATAAAGTATGTCTTCTTTCCTCTGTTATCACAGAAAGATAGCTTTACAGTGAACATCGGTGATGACAAATTTTGAGAAAGGGAGCCTCACTGTAAGAAGAAACAACTCTAACGCAGTTATTGCTGTGCGCCTGACCTACATGAAGAAAGAGTTCTTCACATGAGTGACTTACCTTTTCTTCTCCAACTGGTTTGGCCACAAATGTAGAGAAAGCGACACTCACAAGCTTCTCAGTGCCAGTGAGCATGTCCTGAACCATGACCTTGATACTTATCTGCAGGAAGGAACAACAAACACACTTTGTTCTGTCCCCAAGGCAAACTCGGTTGCAGCAGTCAAGATTTGGCCATGCACTGCATCAGTCTTGTCTTTTGGGTTTTTTTAAATGAAATTAGCATTTTTATTTATTTATTTATTTATTTATTTGGTACTGGGGGATCGAACTCGGGTCCTTGCGCTTGCGGGGGCAGGTGGTGGCACCACTAAGCTAAATCCCCAGCCCAGCATTTTTATGAATTTTAAACCAATACTGTTCTCTCAAAAATGTTATACAAAATCGGACAAGTACCTCTTTTTTCCTAATAATAGGAAATATATACATTTATCATGAAAAAATGATGGGATCTGAGTCCTCACAGTAAATATTATCAGCAGTCCAGTCATCCAGAGACATATTATTAATCTTTAAGTGAATTCTTTTCCAGTTATACATATAAAATATGAAATATATATTCTATAAATGCATATATGTGTATAAATGCTCTTAATGATCACAGTGTGTTTACAGATTTATATTCTAACTGTTATAATTTGGCATGATGTGACAAGCATTTTCTGGTCTCATTGCTGGCAGATACACTTTTGAAAACAAGGTATTAAGGACCATCTTGTGTGTCATATCTGAGATGTATCAAAGTATTTTTAACCTTTATCCTCTGCTCATTACAACCAGGATAGCACAGGCAGGACTTGGCTGTGTTATCTTCAGTGGTGCTTCCTCGTTCTGCTCCTCTGGGGCCATGAGAAGGTAGCTGAGACACCCTGTGAGGATGCTGTGCAGGACTGGACCCCTGTCCCCACCCTCCTGTGAAGGGCTCTGAAGTTCACCTTCTCTCAGGCATGTACACCCTTACATGCCTACATCCCTACCCTGGGAGGTGGGTACACTTAGCACTGATCTTTAGATTGAAGTGATACTGTCTTCCTGGAGTCATGGACAGAGTCAGGCATCTTAGTGCACCACAGTGCAATCAGTGATAAAGAACATCCATTTCCACCTCTGTACCAGGTACATCATGTACAGAAGTAACAATCTATGAATCACTTAAAAATACAAATTAGTACTTGCCTGATAAATCCTAAAATAACTAGATGTGGATTAACCATGTTTAGCTCATCTATTCCCAATCCCCCAACTCGTCCTCATGCTACAGAGCTTCCCAATTTAGGGAGATGGTGAACAGGAAATGAAATAAAATATCTAACAGATTGAAAACAACCAAAACCTAAGCAAGGGGAATTTCACCATACCATGCAAGAAAGACTGGAACACTAGAAAACTGGGCAAAGTATCAGCAACTATTTTCACACATAGGAAAATGAGAGATACAAGACTGTGCTCTTGGGGAATGGGAAACAAAGGAGAGGAACCCTGCCTTTTGGGGGCTCTCACCTGAAGGTAATTCCCAGACTACCATCAGGGAGGGGAAACCTAACTTTGCTGATAGGAGGAGCCAGAAATCAAGGTGATTGAGGCAGCTATGGGACAGCATGGCAGAGAGGAGGGAGCTACAGAAAGAAAGAAATCCAGAAATACAAATATAGGTCTCTGTGAGTCTTGGGGCTGATGCCAACCTAAGCACGCACTGAGCGAAACTTCAGCAAACTTCAGCCAAGAACAACTTCTGAGAAATAAACAATGTGAATGAGTCGAGCCGTCACATGCAGTGGAGAATCTTCTGAGTTCTCTCCAGCCTGACCTCACTGAACATGCAACACACACACGCACACACACACACACACACCACAAAAGATGCCAACTGAGAGAAAGGACTAAATTAGCCCTAGAAGACAGACTTGTTCATCTTCCACAGAAGAGATCAAAAGGGACCTTTGAGGCTCAAACTTATCTGGAAGGAACATCAGCCTGCTGCAAAAAATCTGACACTCTTTTTTTTTTTTTTCTTATTTTATCCCCATTCCTAGCCCTCCCTTCACGCCCTCCACCCATCCCTATTTACAAAGACTTTATTTCCATTTTTTCCATTTCTCGCCATTTTTCCTTTCCCTTCTTTCCTTTCCCCTGCCCCTCCCACTACCCCTACCCCTTTGGACCTTTTCTTCCTATTCTACATTATCAATTATTCATTCTAATCATTGGTACATTTTAGGTATACAATATAATGACATTCATCATTGGAAATTTTCACCTTTACATAGTCTCTCTTGGTTCTTATTTTTCACCCTTACCCAGCCCTCCCTTCAACCGCTCCATTCCTCCCTATTTACAAAGATTTTGTTCCTATTTTTCCATTTTCTCCTATTAATCCCATTCCCTTCTATCCTTTCCCCTAGCCCTCCCACTTCCTTCCCCTTTGCCCGTTTTCTTCCTATTTCACATTACCTCTTATACATTTAGTCCTTATTTACACTTTCAGTTTCTCACACCAGAGAAACTATTCGTTATTTATACATGTGTGTCCTATTTATTTCAATGTGCATCCACTTAGCTGTAAATGTCTGACACTCTTCTTACAGAAATACAGCAAAAATCTTACTAAACAATGTGAAATTTACAGTGCTTACCATCAAATAAAAACTGATTAGACTTAAGAAAATCATTAGTTGCAAGGTAGTAAAATCAGAACAACAAATGACAGAAATGATGGCATTAACAAAAAAGGACATCAAAGCATCAAGTATATATGTGTACCATAAGCCCAAGAATATGGAAGCGTGAGTCAACAAACATGTGAAAGGGCAAGGCAAGACAGCAAATGCCTCAACTTTGTGCTCACACAGCCTCTGTCACAACTATTCAACTCTGTTAATGTAACATGGCAGCAGCATACACTGACCAGAAAGCAACAGGCATGGCTGTGCCCTGCTAAGATTTATTTATAAAAATACACAGTGGGTCCACAGGGTATTATTTGCCAACTCCATATGAGCATAATGAAGAGAGAAATGCAAAATATAAAAGACACTCAAATGGGACTGAAAAATAAAATATCTGAAATGAAAATATACCCAGTAAGATTAGAATCAGATAATACACTACAAATATAAAGATCTGTAAAACTGAAGGCCATTATATAGAGGGAGGGGAGAGTGAAAAATACACACAAAATAGAAACAGAGTATCAGTGACCTGTGGGACACTAACCAGCAGCCTAAAATTCTAAACTCTAAAAGAATACAGAGTGCAGGCCATAGAAAAAAATGTATGAAGACAGAATAGCTGAAAAGAATTCCAAATTTGTTAGAAACTATAAATCTACAGATCTAGGAGCTTAAAAAAACCCAAACAAAACTAATTGTGAAGATAATCACAAGGTATATCATACTGAAAACTAGTGGCAAGAAAATACAAAGCAACCAAATTTTAAAAACACACACATACTATGGATGAGGAACAAATGTAAGAATAACAACAGACTTCTTGGAAAACTATGCAGACCCAAAGACAATGGAGACACTTTTTAAAGGACTGCAAGATGGGAAAATCACTGTCAAGCCAGTATCTGGTACCCAGTGAAAACATCTTTCAAACATGACAGGGAAACAATGAAATTTCCACACAGAAGCTGGAAAAATCCTTCACCAGATTAACAGTATAAGAAATGTTAAAGGAGTATCTTCAGACAGAAGGGAAATGATAGAAAGGAGAATCTGAAGAGGATGAAGAAACGAAAAGCACCAGAAATGGCAAATATGTAGCAAGCTATAAAATACATTTCTCTCATTTTTAGTCTTTTTAAAAAGTGACTCTGTAAAGCAAAAATAATAACAACATGTTGTGGGATATGTAACATGTGTGGGGTTGAAAGGTGTGATGATAACAGCACAAAGATGAAGACCCAGGAAGGGAAGCCCACTGCTACTAGGTTTTAAGCTATACCTAAAGGAATCAAATATTTGAATGTAGACTCAGATAAATGTGCATTTTGTAAGCCCTAAAACAACTGCTAAAATTTAAATAAATAGATACAACTAAAACACCAATGTGAAGACAAGATGGATTACTAAAAATTACAGGAAAAGATGGGGAAAAGGAACAAAAAATAATGGAACAAATAGAAAACAAACAGCTAGATGATGGTTTTAAACCATATCATGTCAATAATTATGTTAAATGAAAATAGTTTAAACACAATGTGACAGTTAACCTTGATTGTCAGTTTGTCTGTCTTGAGAGATACCTGGGTGATTAGGGACATACACTTTTGGGTGTGTTGTGCTGGGTCATGCAGGCGTGGCCTTCAGAATCACCCTACCTGCAAGGGTTATTACAGAACTCCCTCTCTGTACTCGACACAATGGACAGATGAGCACCAACAGGCATAGCTAAGGAAAGGGGGAGTCTTACCTCCATGCTGGTGTTGAAGGCTCTAGTAACTTTGGCTTTGATGGTTATAACTTGCCCAACTCTAGTAAAAAAAAAAATCAAAACAAAACTCAGTATTCTCAGCACATTTCATTTCAGAGTAAAAATGCCCTTAAACACGTGTCATAGGTAGTACCACATGCTGATCATCTTCCTTTCTTGCCCTGAGACACAATCCCAACACCACAATTTAATGGAGGAGCACTTCATTTGGGGTCATGTTTCAGTCCTTGGTCAGCAGGCTCCAAAGGAGAAAACATGGCAGAGGGGCTGGCAGAGGAAGGTGCCCACCACATGGTGGCCAGGAAGCAGGGCACAAAGGAAGGAGTTGGGGAGAAGATGTACTTTTCCAGGTCACACCTCCAAGTGACTGGCTCTGCTGACCGGGCCCTGCCTCGCAACATCACGCAGCTGTAGTATCCCCATAATCCAATCAGCTTCCACAAGCCCTGCCTCTGAGAGCCGGAGCCTTTGCGGGTGACATCCAGAAATAAGCACAGTACTGATAATGTTCGTGCATGGAAAACTCAGGTTAATGATAACAGAAAAGACAAGGCTTAAGGACAGATTCTGGTCCCCGTAAGTCTCTTACAACACTGACGGCAGAAATGGACTCTGCAAAGATTGCGTGCAAGGAGACTCCAAATTTGCAACAGATACTTTGCCCTTTAGCAGCTCCTTTCCCAAAGGAAATTCAGACAAACACACAGGCAAACCTATGCAAGCGACATTTATTTTTAAGTGTTAATGCATAGATCGATGGATAAACCAATACACAGGGAAGCAAGCTGGCAAGCCGATCAGCTTCATGAGGTGTACAGGCCTGGATGCTGCTAGATGACCCATTCGCTCCCGACCTTCAAGTTCAGGCCCTTCGTCACTTCTGGTCCCTTTACCTAAGCAGAAGTTAAGAGTCTGCCAAAGGAAGCCGCCTCAGCCCTTCTCCCTGAACTCAAAGTCTCGCTGTCTTATCCAGTCTTCTGTCTCAGAGGAAGAAAGCCAGGTCCTCTCAGGCCTGTCCCCTTCCTTACCCATGGCCTGACCCACCCACCCTGCCTACCACCTCTCCTTCTCTCCCCTCTGCCCTGCTGGTCACCTCTCTCCTCATTCACCCTCCTCCCTTCGCGCTCTTTCTCAGAATTTGAAAATATTCAAGGCTTCTCCTTCTCAAAACTTTTCCCTCAAACCTATTCTGTGTCATGACTTTTCCTCTTCTTCATATTCAAGCTTCCTAAAGGAATCATTGATTTTTCAAACTCCTGCATTTACCAAATAGTCACTGAGTTATGATTAACCTGAGACTGAGCTAAGGTGTAAGGTACAGTGACAATCGGGAAAAAGCTGGGGACTTTGAGGAGGGTAGTGCATGGGTGTGTAAACAGCGAAAGTCTAAAACGTTAAAAAAGAATTATTGAAAGTTCATTAACAGTACAACCCCTAGTCCATAGTTGAGCGAAGTACTCTTTCTCTGGTGGCCATGTTAGTGAAGACGGCTGCCCTTCATCCACGCAGTGTGTAAATCAGGCGCTGTGCTGAAGGCTTCATATTATATCTAGCAATGCGTCGCTCACCAAGCAGGCATCCAGCAAGGCAGGCATTATCACCGCTCCATTCACATCCGGAAACGGTCTTACAGGGTGGGACAGCCGCCCCTGGCCAGAGTCCAAAGCCTGACAACATGCCCTTACTCAGCCTCCTGTTCTAGCCAAAGCAGAGGGCTGGTCCCGGGGTGTGCAGGACAGCTGCCCTGAGGAAAGAGCCCTCCTGATGGAGGCATGGCGCAGGCATGGCTGCTCTATGTACTGTCAGAGTCTAGCCCTGCAGTCCAAAGAACTGGAATACATCCATGCAGGTGTGCATTAAGTCACAAGTTTGTGTTGCAAATCTAGAATCCCAGCACAGGCATATTAGTTGTTAGCCTCATTTTACTAGCGTAGAAAGTGACACAGCCCACATAACAGACCCCACCGGGAGGAATGTGGCAATGTCTAGTAAACGACGTGCTTTTACCCTTTGACTCGGAAAGCCTATTTTGGGAATCTATCCCAAAAATACAGACGCAAAAGAATTTGCGATATATCTGCACGAGCCTGCAGTTGAAGTATTACTTGTGATAGCAAAAACTGGAAATGATCTAAATGCTCATTGACCAGGACCAGCTCGAGAAACTAAGGCATCTGTCTTAGCCACTTTGCCATCACTGAGTCACAGCACCCAACACCCACAAAGGAAAGGAGTAGAGCTTGATCTGGGCTCGTGGTTACAGGCCCCAGCCGGCGGGCTCCACAGCAGAAAGAGCATGGCAGAGAGGCAGAGAGGCTGGGCAGAGGAGAGCTGCCTAGGCCTCGGTGGCCAGAAGCAAAGTGAAAAGGGGCTGGGAGGGAGACGCACCCTACAGACCAGCTGTAACCAGGCCTGAGCTAGCAGCACACCGGGCTGCTGATCCTGCTGTTGTGCCCAGATTTCGAGGTCCCCAAAGACCACCAAGGAGCCGATTCCAATGTAAACACACGAGGGTCGTTTATTCAAGCTCGAGCAGGGACTCCCAACCATCACCGCTGCAGCGGGTCAAGATTGAGAGCCCCGACTCCAAATCAGCAGGGGTTTTTATAGTGGTTACAGCAAGGTTCTAGATTGGCAATTAAACCGGATAGATTGTGCCTTGCGCACCCAAGCTGCAAACGGTTGCTAACTACTGATTAGCTGTTCCTAGGGGACAGCTGAACACTATCACATGCAGGTGGTCAAAATACATCTTGTGGTTTTTCTTAGAACTGAAATTTATGCCACCAGATTTTAGAATGGAGTCACTTAGGTCTCACACTGCCACTGGGTGAATCCACCCTCAGTGAGTAGAGCACCTCAGGATCAAGTCACCTTCCAAACGCGTGAGAGTGTGGGGTCATTCATGGTCTGAAGCATGACAGCATCTACGCGGTAGAGTACTATGTAGCTATTAGAACTATGAGTACATTGCTACAGACTGATTTTCTAGATAAAATATTAAGAGACAAAAGTGATGTGGAGAAAAGCTGTCTTAGTACTTTTCTTGCTACTGATAGAAAATATCCAACACCCACAGTTGCAGGAGGAATGCTCAGTTTGCAGAGGCTCCAAGGCAGGGTGGCATGGCAGAGGGGGATTGAAGAGGGGAAAAGGTCCACAGCAAGCAGGCAGGTGACAGCAAGCAGGCAGGCAAGCAAGCAAGGGACCTTAGCAACGTCTTTCTGCCCCTTTTATATTCCATCCAGCTACCAGGATTAGGGCGTGCCAAACCAGTCAAGGCACTGGTTTAGTAATCACACGCCCTCAATCCCAGGCACCACACTCTCTAGATCCAGCCACCTCTGAGAAAACCACACCCATGACCTCATGAGGCTTTGAGGGACATCTAGACACAGCTAACACAGAGCATTGAAATTTGTTTTAAAACGCTATAAATACACAGGAATATTTGCTTACATTTAAAAAGCAAATGGATAAGTCATGAAACAAACAGTGTTTACTTATGGAGAGGGAGGGGCCTAGGTAGAAGCTAGGGTCAAATGTATCTGTTTTCCAAATTTGAGCCTTGCACTCATATGTGATTTACATTCTAAAACAAAATAAAATTGAAGTGAAAAGGAATCCTAAAAGGGAGGGGAAGGGAATGGGAACAAAAGAAGAATCAAGATATAACATGTACAGGAACAAATTCCTTATGATGAATGTGATCAGTACGCATATCTAAAATGTACCAATATGGGCTGGGGATTTAGCTCAGTGGTTCCACCGCCCGCCCTGCAAGGGCAAGGACCCGAGGTCGATCCCCAGTACCAAAAAAACCCCCCAAAAACAACCAATAAAATATAAAAAAATAAAGAATTAACATTACCAACTTAAAAAAAGAAGAAGTACCCTAAAAAGAAGTAAATAAATTTAAGTACAGTGGAGTTAGTAGTTTAATCATGTGGAAGAGGATTATATCAAGTGACTTCAAAAAACAGTGACTATGATTATGTTGTTTTCTAAATGAGCCCTGATCTTTCACACCATACTGTTTTCTCTACTGTTATATACTTTTATATTTTGAGGTGGCTTAATGGCAATGTGTCTTTTACTGTACTTTAATAAAGATTTTTAATTTCAACATTCACTGTATATTTTGGTCATCCCTCGTATGTTTGAATTACTTATCTTGAAACCTTTTACACTAAGCGTTAGTTAAGCACATGAGCAATCTCACCTACAAAATCTTTTCCGTAATTTACTACCTCTCTTCAGACGAATCAGTACCTACCCAGAACCTAAGGACGAAATTCACCCCCACAGACACAGTTGTTGTCGTTAGTGATTCTTCAGGAGGAGAAGCAGCCGTCAGGAACTGCCCCAGAATCCACCCAAGGCTGTTACATCTCAACAAAGTGGACCGAACCTGCACTCACAGTGCTAACACCGGGCCTCGTGGTGCTATCTTGTCGAAGTTGGATTGCTCAAATGTTATTTATTTTGTTAACAAACAGGATCACTGAGCCCAAACAAACAGGCGCCGCACAGCCGCCGCAAATGAACCAAGAGCCCGAGCCCGAGAGCTACTCACCTCGCCGCCTCCTCAAACTGAATGTCGTCCACCGAGGCTGTGACGCAGGAAACTCCCGCGTGTTTCTCCGCTTGAACAAAAGAGCAAAAGCGTGCTGTGTTAGGGTTATGATAGAGTATGTCAGCGGGAGAATACAATTTCGAGTCTATTGATTTTAGTTATCCAAGCCACGCGCCCACTCTTCCTGGGTGACCTGAATTTGTGACAGTTCCTTGGTCCGTGAGCTACATTTGTACTGCATGGTAATCACTGTGCTTTCGCCCATATTTTAACATACACTGTCTTTCATTTGAATTTTAAGAACAATCCATAACATTTGGTAACCGTAAATAGGAATTTTAACAAGTGCCTGTTGGCTTTAGTATTTTGGCAGGTCTCACCCTCCTTTAGTTTTAAAAACTCAGCTTCAAAGGTGTATCCTCTATCTCCAGTAAGTAGTAGCAGAGTGTATTTTGTTGTGCCCAGATTTCGAGGTCCCCAAAGACCACCAAGGAGCCGATTCCAATGTAAACACA